TTCTTAGCACAAATAGTTGATACGAATACAACATGTATCGATCACCCCTTTTAGGAAAAATGTAGTTAGGAGTTTATGTTAAGAAATGAGCATGACACCCACGGTGCTTTTACTCTCGTTAGTTATATATAATTCAAGAAAAACATACACTACTCTCATTTTCCTATGATTCATAGAATCACCTTCATCTTCCATACTCTTAGTGTATCTCTAAACTATTTACACTTGTCTTTATCATCATTCTTTTCTTATCAGTATTTATCTTCATATTTATTTTCATATTTCTTAATATGACTCTCCTCTTTTCATTAATCATTATAGCCTTGTCTTATCGCTTTATATCAACATGTTATTAATATTCTTCTCTTTCTGTTATATTCAAGTTCACTAACTATACCATATATTAATCATTCATTGCTGGAAGTTAGTAACCTCTAGACTAAGTCCACAACATACATACATATATGCTCAAAACACATGTCATTCAGATAATCAAAACACAAAAAACATATTTCAATCTAACACATATTCACAATTATATATCATACCACAATATTTTCATGAGTACAAACATATCATATTTTCAGCTATGAGACAAAGCTCTCCTTATCTTAGTGGATAAGTTTAGTGAAGAAAACTAGTGAAAAAGGTCATTCAAAAGATTGAGGTCCTCCTACATGTTACATAGAAAAGTACTTTTTGAGAAAAGAGAAAATAGAAGTGAGAAGGAAGAGTCAAATTCTGAGATACTCACCAATGATTTTAAAGTTGAGATTAAAGCTCATATTTAAAGTAACTTTAGAGTTTCTAAGGCTTTACTCTAGAGGAGGAAATAGAAAGTTTGGAAAAAAGAGTTATGAAGTGTTTCTTGGATTGTAAAACAAGTTTATGGGTTGTACTTCCTTAAATACCACTGAATTCTCATGCACTATCGCTTGAGCAAGTAGGTTCTCGCTTGAGTGAGACCATTTTTGCAAAACTAGATAATGGTTCATCGATCCTTTTCTGCAATTCTTGCTTAAGTGAGAGTCATTTTCGCCTGAGTGAGAAGACATTCAGAGAGTTGAATATTTTTCCTGTGAGTCTTCACTTAAGCGACTTATCTCGCCTGGGTGAAATTTTTGTTGCTTGCTTGAGTGAAATCACTCTCGCTGAACGAAATGACAGTTGAGTTGAGTTTATCATATTCTTACTTGAGCAATAATATCTTTATTTCTAGGTACTCAATCTAGCTTGAGTGAGACCACTTACACCAGACTTTTACCAAAACACCTATAAATTATTCCCAAATATATTTCAACATTATCTAATATCAAATAATTCATCAATTAATAAATAAATAAATAAATAAATAAAGAGTGTTACATTAATTATATATATATATATGTATATATATATATAATTTTTAAAAAAGAAAAAATGTAATTTATTTGTTTTTGTTTATTATATTTATTAGACAATTATTTATTTATTATTATTATTATTATCTTTTATCTTATTTTAATTTTTAAGAATTGTATTTTAAATAAGTGAGTGCTATTTTTTAATAAAATATATTATTTTATAATAATTTTTAATTTTAATTCAATTTTATGTAGATAAATTTATATTTTATTAACATATAAAATAATAAAATAACATTTAAAACTCATGAAAATTACAAATAAGTTAACAAATAAAGTTGAAGTTTTAAACTTGTTAATCAATTTAAACTCGAGTTTTCAATTTATCTCGTTTAAATAAATAAACAAGTAAAACTTAAGTATTTATTTTTTATTTCATAATTCAAATTTAAAAGTTAAATACTCAAGTTAATTTTATCTATTCCTATTCACTAATAATAAATAACTCTTATTACAAATGTTTTATAACAAAATATTATATCAACACATAATCAATTTAGCAACCTCATATTAAAAAGAATGTTTGCTAATATTATTTTTAAAAACAGCAAATAAAAACTAATGAAAGGTGTCATAGTTCTCAATTTTACAACTACTCGTTAGTATTATATAATTATTGTATATTTAATTTTAAATTTTTATTTATAATGCTTTGTTTGGATGTGAGAAAAAATAAAGACAAAAAATTGATAAAAATGTATAAATAATGTGAATATATACTTGAATGTATTGAAATGAAAGAAAAAAAAAAGGATGAAAGATTCATTTTAGTTGTTTGGATAATAAAAAAATTAGAAAAAAATATATACCATTTAAAAATTTATAAAAAATTTAAATTATTAAATTTGTTTAATAGTATATTTGATAAAATAATTATTTTATATTTTCAATAAAATTTTGTATTATTTTAACATTAAAAATAACATAAAATGAAAAAAAAAATCCCCGCTTACTCAATCGGTCCCCTGTCTCTTCCTCTTCCTTCAATGTTATTTTTTAAAAATCTTGAGAGTTTTTGCTTTTTAAATTTACAATGTGACCAAACATTGTGAATTTAGTTATTTTAAAATTAAAATTGTTAAATATAAGCATTTTTAAATTATTTTAAAATATTTCCTTAAATTGCGACACTATCTTTTATTTGGCTCAAAATAAATAATATATATATTTACATCATTGTTTAACACATAAATATTATTTATTATCACTCAATAGTTTTTCAAAGTTGATATTTTAAATTTAAAGTAATGCATGTACTTCATAATTGCTTAGTCACAAGCACCTTAAAAGCACTTAATCTTAAATTCAAACAGTGGAGGTTGTTTTAATTCAACTTTAACCTATTATTTTTTTACATGTCTATAATTTTCTCTCTCTAACATTCCATACACTAGATATTTGGTATTGGGTTAACTTCTGTTAATAAGACTTCTATTTAATGAATTAAAAATTATACAGGTAGTATGATACATCATTCGCTTGAAAAAATAATACATCACGTTAACAATTAATTTCATTATTAGTAAAATTTAATATATTAATATATTCTTAAATATTAATATAATATATTACATTGTTACTATAAATATATAATGTTCACATCAATGATTTTTATTGAATAAAAATAAATTAATAAATATCATTACAATTTAACATTTTTATTCATTAATAATTTTTTTTATTGAAATCCATTCAACGTGCAGCATGTTAATTTTTTTTTAAAGTCAAACACGTCTAAGCACAAACCTAATTGCCAATTAAGATCTATCTAAATAAATAATAATAATAACAGCACACGAAAAAGGACAGAACCGACGAATTAACCCATCGCTGTACTACCACTCCTTAATCTTTTGGACTTGGCAACCTTTGATTTTTTAGGGTTCACAGCTTGTCCACGTCTTATGTTTCATAAAAAAATAAAAATAACAACGAAGTGAGGAATCACATGTTCAGTAATTCACAAGGAATCAAGTGATCAGAAAGTGCCCAACTTGCAAGGCGTTTGTGATGCATATTAATTATAAATTCTTTTTGTATCTTTATTTATCATAAGATTTACGTTAATAAGATGTTAATATGTTATTTATATATATAAATACTAATTTGAATATTATTATTGAATATGATCAATTAAAATAAAAAATAAATTACACATATATTAAAACATAAAGATTGAAAGTAGAATCAAGCCTAATACTTCTATAATTTTTTTTTTAATTTAAAAACTGATAATTGCAAGCCCAATCGTCCTATATTAATTTACTTATACGATATCCTACCGTTTACTCCAGAGTTTATATATTAGGCCTCATTTTTCAAACACACAGTGCCGTCTCAAGTTAAAAAATCATGGACAGTTGGCACAAATCTACCCGTCCATTAAGGAAGTTTAGTTTGTTAATTAAAGAATTACATGTGACCCATTAATACATTACACAAAAATTAATTTATTAATGGAAAAAAATTATTATAATGATCTCTATCAGTGTAATTTTTATTTATTGAGAGTTATAATACTTAATACTTGTTTGAATATTAGAAAATAGACATATAAAATACTATTTTAAATTGAAAATTGAAAATAAATAATTAAAGTAATTGACTTTTTAAAAATGCGTTTAATGTTGCCTATAGGATATGGATAATGTTATATATTGATATACGTTTTTAAGTAAATATTTAATAAAAATAAAAATATTAAATGATTTAAAAAAATAACATGTTTTCATTTAATACGTAGAAGAAAGCAAAAATGTTTTTAAAAAATTCATACGACATTAATTACCGAAATCCAATATCATTTGATTTTACTTACCTTTCAAGTAATTTCAAATATTTAATTGTTCTTAACAATATAAAAGTTATTCAATGTTTTCTTCATTTGAATAATTATAAATTTATAAAAAAACAAGATAGAAATATTTAAAATTATTCTTAATTAACATAATTTTTTGTTACATGAGGTATGAGTAAATATGTTTTAATGTTTCTATTACTTTTTATTTTTTTGTCATTTTCAAAAAAATTTAATGTCATTTTAAGAATGATGATTTCTTTTAAAATATTTATTATTTTTAAAAAATAGCACTGTTAGTCATTACTTTAAGCACAGTTTTCAAATAATATTATATTTCATTAAAAATACAATGTTTAATATTATAAACAATTTTTAACTTTATTTTTATTTATCAATTTTAAACTATTTTCCGGAATGAAATAATTTTAAAAAACATCCCTTATTTATTAAGATTTGACAGTGTTTTGTTAATTTCCAAATATTTGATTTTTTAATAAATATATAAAAAGGATAATTGCTTTATTGTAATAAATAATGCAGTTAACATTTTATTTAAATTAATACATGATTATAATATTTTTAGCATGCTTGATAGTAAAATATTTATTAAAAAACATTTATATCAAATTTTTCTATTAAAAATGAATAAAATAAGTAATTATTTCGTCGTTAACTTATGAATATGAGGGGCTCGATATCTACAGGCAACAAGGTAACGCTGTGATAAAAGGTGAGGTTGAAATATTTGTAAGAGCGGTGAATGTATTGTTAAATTGTAAAATAAATAGGGAAGAGAGAGAGACCGACTCATACACCTCACCTCACCTCACAACACGCCCCTTGACACATCACAGAGAGAGAAACAAACATCACGTTGGATATGTAGCAGAACTGCAGCACCTTCTTCTCTTCTCTCCGCTTCCACCCACCCACTCTCTCTCCCGTTTTCACTCCTTCAATTCTCGTTCTCTTTCTCTCTCTAGCAATTCACAACCCTCACGTTGCCTCATTCATGTGAAACTATCTTTCTCCCTTTTCTGGCTCTCTCTCTGAATTATCTACCATCTGTCTCTCTTTCTCTCGTCGAAACGAAGCAAGGAGAAGGAGTTTCTTGCTGTTGTAATTGTTGAAGAAGCAACAGCAGAAGAAGAATGGAGTCTACGGAATCTTCTTATGTGTCTTCTCCTGAGGGACCGAGGAAGCATGCTACATCGCCTCCTCCCAAATCGCCTTCTCAAGGTATCTGATCCGATCCGATCTGTTTTCTCTCTCTATCGTTTTCTTCCTTTCGTTTCCGTTTCACTTGCTTTATGTTGTAGACAGTAATGCAGGTAAGCCACTGAATGTCGGTGATGTTATTGTACGGTCAACGTTTTCATTCCCAACCCTAATTCTTCACATTGGTCTTTCAATGCTATTTCTCACTAGATTTAGATTCTTTTTCCTCAAATGAAAATAATTAAGTCGAAACGTACTTCTGTTGTGTTTCGAGTGTGGATGTGGTTTTTAGTAATTGAATGATTGCCGATATGATTTCGTAGGGAAGTAATTGTTCTGACTTTATGCTTTTCTTCAGTACTTACACATATAGATGTTGTGATACATGGAAGGAAGATAAACCTTTTTTATTATTATTTTTTAATGTGGTTGAAGCTAATGAAAAATTTTAGATGCAATTTAAATTCGAGAAATGTTGGAGTTATTTCAGGTTTAAATAATTTTAGGTCATATTCCACACCCAATTACCTAATCTCAAGTTTCACTTTGGCTATTATATTTGACAGAAAAGTTTGTGAGATTCGGTTTGGTATCTGGCGTGGAAAAATCTGAATTGTTTGTCTTATGATTGTAGGCGACGTTTAGTAAAATAAGTATTTGGAGTATGTACCCTTCAGTTGTTTGTTTTGTGGGTACAAAAGCATGATATTGCTGGGAAAGAATGTAATGATATAATTTTGAAATACTCGTGTAAAATTATTAAATTCAAATTGTTTCAACCTCTAGTCTTACTTGAAATCTAACATAATATCTGCGTTCTTGTAATCTCTGTGATGTTATGGACTTCTTCTGCCATTTGATCCCATGCAATTGAAATTTAATAATTGAATGCTAGACTGGTTTGTGTTTTATTATTTTTTTATTTTCTAATATTTGAATTAAATTTTTTTTCCCTACTGCATCAGTTGTACTTTGATTTGTAAATATGTAAAACTTTCAAATTAAGTATTTGTTATTAATTATATGTTTACTTCTTTCAGATTCTGAGGAGAAGCCAACATATATTAGGTTTCTTGTATCAAACTCTGCAGCTGGGTCTGTTATTGGAAAGGGTGGTTCAACCATCACAGATTTTCAGTCACAGTCTGGAGCACGAATCCAGTTGTCGCGCAATCATGAATTCTTTCCTGGAACTACTGATAGGATTATCATGGTATCTGGTGCAATAAATGAAATACTGAGAGCTCTAGAGCTTATTCTCGCTAAGCTGCTCAGTGAGGTAATCTCTTTGATGTTGATTTAAGTAGTTATTGGTAGAAAAGATTTCTCACATTCTTCTGAAATTAATTTTCCACCTGTGATTAGCTTCATAGTGAGGAAGATAATGATGCTGAGCCAAAAACAAAAGTAAGACTCATTGTTCCTAATGGTTCATGTGGTGGGATAATTGGCAAGGGAGGTACTACCATTAGGTACTGTTACTTTTCTTTGTCAAGTTGTAGGGCCTACTTGTTTGCTATGTTTATGAATATGTGTACTGATAAAAGGAGTCTTTGATACTTGTCTTTTTTTAATTTCTGTTCTGGTATGTCTTGATTTCAAGAGGTTATATTTCTCCTATGCATACTGTTCTTTGTTGTCTGAGCTTTTATTTCCCTTTGCTGCCCCCTTCTGCTTAAAGAAAAAGAATGCTATTGTTTGGTCAACATTCTTTTGGCATTGCAGAATCCTTTCTATATTTTTACATTAGTCCTAGATGGTGATAAAAAGCTAAGATTATACATTATTTGCCTTTGGTCAGGTCATTCATTGAAGACTCCCAGGCTGGCATTAAGATATCTCCTCAAGATAATAATTACTATGGGCAGAATGATAGGCTGGTGACCCTGACAGGAAATCTTGACGAGCAGATCCGTGCAATTGAATTAATTGTTGCTAAGTTAGCTGAAGATCCTCATTATGCACAGTCCATGAATTCTCCATTTTCATATCCTGGTTAGTGTCATTTATTTATACTACGGAATATCCCTTATCCATCTGTTGATTTTGCTATTATGTTAATGTTGTATATTTATTTTTGGAGCACCTAATATGGAATAAGTAAGTAATTGCTAATCTTAAATGACTATAATAAATCCTCTATCATCCCTGTTCTCTTTATGTCTGGATCCTTGCGATTATACTTTTTTTTCTTCTATGTTACAGGAAGAAGGTAGATGGAGGCACTACTTGAATTAGTATATCATCCATACTTATTGTTAGTTTAGCTTGTTTAAGTTTATGGGCTTTTTTTTTTTTTAATCATTTTGCTTTCTTTTCAATGAGCTGGGCCGATCTATCTTCTTAGTTACTATATTGTTTACTTATATACATAGAGGATAGTTATAACTTATAGTAAGAAAATTCTCTCTGCAGCTTTAAATAGCACACTATTTTAGAATATTTACTGACTTGATGTTTGTATATGTGTAGGTAAAGAAGTAGTTAAAATACTTTAACAATCCATTTGAGAAATAACCATAATTTATCTTGTTACTTAATACTTAAAATGAAAAATTGTAAAGGATTAAGTATATGTTTATTCAATAATTTTGAAACCAGAATATGGTGGCTGGTTCTACAAGTAACTGTTCACATACCTAGCCTGGTGATCTGGTCAGGTTATATAAACCTTTATTCATTCAAACTGTTAAAGATGTAAATGAGTTGTGAACTGAATCAGCTGTTTGAACTTTGAACTATTAGTGGTTCAAATGGTTTGGGTGTTGAACAGAAACTGTTCATCTCTTCACCTCAACCTTCTGCTGTTGAGCTCAGGTCACTGCCACCATCTCTGGCATTCTTTATCTGTTCCTGGTTAAACTATTTTCTCCGCATCCCCTCATACAATGACTGAATCATTTGTTAACCTCAGAAAGATCTTTTGTTGCTGCACCTGATCTTTGAAAGGGAAAAATTATGAGAAAGAGAAGATAGTTTAAGAGGAAGGGATGAATCTGTGTTGCTAATTGGGTAAAAGTATTTATTGGATAAAAAGCAATCTGAAGGAAACTAATAAAATTCACTCACTTTGACTGTTTAGCCTATCAGTATTGATCTTGAGCCTTATCTTTTAAAAGCCTACTACTATATTCAGTTCAAGAATTGAAAACATCCGACAGTGACTATATTATGAAAAAAACTTAGATTCATATTAAAGCACGCATAAATTTAGGGGCATGCATGGTTGGTTTTGGTATAAAATTAATCCAAATCCAATTTTAAACCAATTATGTGGATAGGATTTCAGGTCCAAACTATTTATTAAAAAAAAAAAAAACTGGATTAATTTTGGCTAAACTGGTTTCAAAACCAATTTTTGGGCTAAATTCAGATTAAGCATCTGCTGCTTTTGAAAACCAGGGGACCCCACCATCACCTTATTTGTTAAAAGAGAAGTATAACATAGTTTGCTGGCAATCATAAAAATAAGCAGGCCAAGGGGATTAGAATTGCAGAAAGCAAGGCAACCAAAACCTACTTCTCTCAAACATAGTTCTGTAACCCCCACCTCTTCACTTTTTGGTCAACCTAAAGGCCCAACAAGGTAGCAGATGGTCCAAAACCAACAAAATGGCAAGTTCAGGAAAGCTATGCAGCAATACAAAATAAATAAGCAAAACAGTATGCTAATTTATATCAGAATGCATTTGGATTTGGGTATCCAACTTAGCAACCGGTTCTGGATCTGGTTATTTTTAATAATCCAGTTCTAAGAATTAAATGGACCATTGTGTACCTGTTGATTTAATAATCCAAATTTTCTATATAGACTGTATTTATTTTAGGATTAAGTTTGTAAAACCGGTTATTTTGCATATACACTTGTATAAATGATTGATTAGAATACACGAGTTACTCTGTACTGTATTACAGTTTTAGTGAGTGAGCATCTATTTGTCTTCTCCAAAGCTACATATGGTGCCTTCAGTTTGGTCTTCAAATAATAAATACATTAAAATGCTTCTCTAATATCAAGTTATTCATTTTGGATGAAAAATTTGATGTCAGAAAATGGCATTAAAGAATCAGTTTGTTCTCAACAATTGTCATTGGACAAACATTTTGGTGTATTTATTACTAAAGGACCAAACTGATGACCCTTGTATCTTTGGAGAATCAAAATAGATGTTTGCTCTATTTTAATTCTTACATAAAACTTTTTATCCATAATTATTTCTAAATTGCATGCTAACCATTAAACCATAAATCAGTGTTTCATCAATGACTGGGCTTATTTTTATAACCTTGGATAATTCTGTATAATACTTTTGTCTTGAAACCAAAATTTTTTATATTCTTCATTTACTGTTAATTAGTGTTTCTTGTTCCATTTCTTTTTCATATTCACTAATTGTCATGTACTTTTTATATTAAATATCTTGACATTATTCACATAGATATATGTTATTGACATTTTGCTGTGCGTAATCACATAATTTATTGCACAATAGATGTATGGAAGTTTAAGGGACTTTAAATGTAGTTAATTAAAGTTTTCTCATACCTAGTAACTAGTCTGATTGTAGGTATATAATGATTGTCCACAAAGTAAAGTATAAAAAAATTATATCAGAAAGAAAAGTTAAAAAATATACGTTATTATTTTCCAAATATTTATTGTTTTATATTTTTTTCCTAATGATATAAATTTAATATACTGACCTAGTTTGGATAAACTTATCAATAAGTACTTATAAGGGTAAAAAATTAAATAGTAAAATGAATCAAACTTCTTGCTTAAGTTATGTTTCTCTATTTTTTAAAAATTTTACAAGTTTTTTTTAACTTATAAGAGAGATTTTATTCATTTTGTATATTGATTTTCTTTTTCTACAAGGACTTGAGAAGTTTATTCAAACTGGACCATTATTTCCCATACTTATGTTAGCTATTATTATACATGGTTACAAATGGATGCTGTCTCACCAATGGTATGTTTTGCATACAAACTTAATCAAGGGCTTGTTTAACAAATTTTTTTTACATATGAACTTATGTAAAAAATTTGATCATAGAAGTTAAAAGGTATTTATGAGAGTTTATAAGCTATTTTTATAAGGTCTTCTAAGTACTCCATAATTTGTTAATCTAATGTGTGGATGTTCATCTCTTCATGACACCTTGTGTGTCATTTATAAAATATAATCACATGCAACACGAAGAATGCTGCAAATGTCATTATTGACAAGTTGCTTTAGAATAATATGAAAAACAACTCAGGCTTGTGAAAATGAAGCCTGGTTCAGTCATTGGTATCTCTTCCACTTCTCTACTTTATTTCTAAGCTCATTTAAATTTTTTCCGAAGGGCAAAGAAGGTAAAAAGAAATTCACATGTAAATCAAAACCTAGATATCATAGTGGTTTGGGTGGATCAATGCTCTGATTCTGAATGATTGTGAAATTGGCTTTAATCTAGTATTTAGCGATGAGAATGCTTTGTAATTGTAATTGTATGTTCTATGAAATGTGCCTTGCTTCACTTAATGTGCACACAAACTTTGCTCCTTATGGGTAGGATCTGGAAACCATGGTTTTTAGTTCTTGCACCTATTTTACGGAAGCTATCATTTTCTAATTTCAGTCATCAATTTTTTGTTATCACCATTATTCATATTCATCACAATGTTGTGTATCTTCAACCTGGTCAGACTCTTCCATAACACACAAGAACCAATTCAACCTAAATAGACTTGTTGGATTGAGGCTCAATTCTAGTTTATATAAGAATGACATTTATTGAGATAGAGCAGCAACATGCAACCATGAATGTCTCTACCAAAATAAAGAATTACACTTAAAATATGCTCATTTTTAGAGTCATTTAATTTAAGGTTATATTTTATTTTTATGGTAGTGAAACGATGGTAATCAAAATTTAATATGGTTTCCTTTGTATAAGTAGTTGTGTTTTCTGATGAATCATTGTTGGTGAGTTTGATGCTAAGAATTTTTTTTAACATGCACTTTAGGTGTTTACTTCTCGGGTTATCATGGTGTTCCATATACATATGTGCTTCCATCTGTTGCACCAGGGGCATACAATGCAGTGAATTACAGATCAAATGGTACTGGGGGAAAGTTCCAGAACAGCAAGGTTCTTCTCATTCCATTGATTTAATCTTGTTAGTGGTTTCTCATGTTGTAAGTTGCCAAGTTTTCAGACAAACACACACAAATATAAATATGTTAAATTCCCATATCTTCTTGTAGAGGAGGCAGATCAACATCGAAGCTGTGCAATTTGAAACTTGCATGAAGGCTCCAGTGTTGCTATACTAAATTACTTTTTTTCCATGCTACTTAATCCATTGAACTTTCATACACAATGGGGCCGTGCTTAATTGATTGTGATTTGTATGCTTATTTATTTTGTGACAAAAAGAGGTGCCATTCCCCTGTGTTAGCCTGCAAATTCATCCAGTGTTTTCTGTTGAAGTGCAGTTCAAATGGCCTGCGGTTTGCATTTAAGCAAACATGCTTGTTTATCAGTGCTAATAGCAGATACAAATAAGTACTAACTACTAACACATGTTAGATGGCTTGAAGGAAAGAAGCTTAAATATGATGGCTTAGGACTTCTGGACATCAAACCTGTGAAATATTTACATAATTCATACGATGTTCTTAAAATTGATGGGACCCCAAACAACAATGAAGGCCTCCGGAATACAAGCCCTACAAGGCCCACTGTGTGGCAGGTTTACTCCTGTTGGAAGAAGGCCAATAACCAATAATTAGGAAGTCTGTTATTATTCTGTTATTAGGATGCTGCTTTGAATTTGAATAAGTTAGTCAGGATATTCTGTTATTAGATTAGGTTAGTTCCATTGTTCTTTATTTAAATTGTTAGTTTGAGGAATTGAGGGGGGAGTTTTTCGGCTAGACTTAGGAGAGGAGAATAACATTCTCTGAGAGGAGCTTTGGCTCTGGGAGATTCTTGTAATCCTAATTCCTATCATAATCAATTAAATATCCTTTCCTTTTTCTTCAATTACCTGAGCATAGATTGTGGACCCTAACAGTCTTTTTGACAATAATTTCTCGTTGACTTAATATTACAAAATCAAAGCAAAGAACCATGTTAAACATCAGATTAAAGGCTAACTGTGTCCATAATTGGGATGAATTGACAGTTACTGTTCAGTCCCAACAACATTTCAGACCATGATGACCTGTTTGGTTTGCATGAGTATATTGGGGAGGGGGTAAAATCTTAACAAAAGATTGAAATATGAATCCACGTGAGTCTAACAATATTAGAGTTCTAATGTGGTGATTTGCTTTATCCATCTGAATTGACATATATCCTCTCATTTTGCAGGAAGAGCGGAGTAACTCGGTGACTATTGGTGTTGCAGATGGGCATATAGGATTGGTTGTTGGTCGTGGTGGAAGGAATATTATGGACATTAGTCAGGTTTGCCAATGCCTAATGGTATTACAAGGCATATAATGTGATTACTCGTACAATAAACTAACTTGAATAACCCGCTGCCTTTTCAGGCTAGTGGGGCAAGGATAAAGATATCAGATAGAGGCGATTACATATCTGGAACAACCGATAGGTAGCTAAAGATTTTGCTTGCTTCACACCCCCAGTATAATTAAAGTCATTAAGCAGATGCCTTGACATAATTTCTTTAACTGCAAATGTTTTTATTTTTATTTTCTTATTATACAGGAAAGTTACCATAACAGGATCCCAGAGAGCAATTCGTACAGCCGAATCTATGATATTGCAGAAGGTTGCTTATGCTACTGAAAGGGTGATCGAGTAGTTTGCTAGTGCCATTGTCTGTTGGTAGACCCTTAGTGAATCTGCTTGCTAATTGCTTATACATTTGCTGAATTTTGGGATTTGTTTCCATAAATTATCATCACATGATATAATTCTGGAGATCTTTATTGTAGTGGGAGAGGGCAGCATTTTTTTTTTCTCTTGAATTGAGATCGGTCTTATAGGATTTCTTCTCAAACCCCTTCATCAGACAAGGTCGATTGGAAAGTGCATTCGTGCTTTTCCAAAATGTAGTATTTAGAACTATATTCTTTTTTTGTAAGTCAGCAGTTGCTAATGTCATATACGATCTGTATCCTCAATCACTGGCCAGAGATAGAATTTGAAAATTATTCTGTGATAGGAATCAAGAATTCACGTGAGTTGTCAGAGTCAGAACCTCACACCCCAGAGCGGTGTTTATTTTTTCATCGTAGTTAGTCATTGGTTGAACTTACTCTTTCTTTTAGATTAATATGTGGTGACTTACAGGTCCACTGAGTTAGAATCTCTCGCAATAGCAGTTTTTGTTTCTTTCAACCCCCTCCCCCTACTGCGCTTTTGATCGAAATAAAATTTGATTCCTTTCAAACGGTATTAGGAGCGTTAGCGATTTGGGGCGTTAACAGCTAACAGGTTGTGCTAGTTTATAAAGTCCGGCTGCGTGTGATACATTGTCTTAAAATTTCTGCAGAATTAAATCAACAATCATGTGTCCAGATTTCTTTCTAAGTGCCCTGATAAAATCGTCATAGTATTACTTAAAATAAAGATTAGTGGGATAAAGAAGCCAATGGTCAAACTTGATTTTTCTCACTGTTCTCTATATTTTATCACAATTATATTTCTGGTACCTATACGGTCTACTTGTTGTTTCTGTGGTGTACTCTCGTAAAGGTTTGGTAGCATTGCTTGTCCCAGGCACTTCATGGTTCGATGCTTGTCCAAGACTTTACACAGTTTGCAGGTACAAGCATGCGATCTTGACCAGAAAAAAAAGATTAGCATCGATATGACTGGAATATTCCTGCAGCTTTATGAAAGTGCTTGTTCTGCGTACGTCAGGATTATAATCTGTCATGTTACTTTTTGCACGGTAGTTCTTAGCCTCCTATCGTCTGAAAGGAGTTTTTGTCTACTTCTGAGAATCGCAAACGATAAGTTGCTCGAGTAGTATGCTGATTAAATTGAAAAATAGTATTAAAGGGGAAAATGAGATTTTTAAAAACCGGAACTTGTAAATTGAAGATTTAATTAAATGAAAAATACTATTGCCGAATATGTGGATCACAGTTTTAATAAATGGAGAAATTAAGGTAAAAAAACAATCAGAGCTAATAAAAAATAACACTACACATTTTTAAATTTTTACTAACTTAACTACACATTTTTTAATCTATATAATTGACACGTTAAAAAATTAAACAACATTGTTTTTCTATTTCATTTCAAATTATATATGTCAGAACTAATAAAAAATAATGAATAAATCAGATAAATAATAATTTTTAAAATTTATAACAATTATGGAGTAAAATAATAATTAAAAAAACTTTTACGGGTAATACTAAAAAATCAATGAAACTTCCTCTTTCTTAGTGCTGCACTATGCCATAAAATAGGAAATTCACTCATTTAAATTCAAAACATTGTATTCGCAACTTGACCGGTGGCAGAAGGACGAAGGGTGTTGTTTATTTGACTTGAGTTACTGTACATAGATGCCACATGTCACACGTAGAGTGAGTAGTTTTTTATGTGTGCCATGTGTCAGTTTCCAGTTGAATGGCACTTGTTGATTGAGAAAAATCAATGGCCACGTATGTGTTTAAGAAGAGTTTTGCATTATTTCCGTGTTTGGTAAATTATTTGAAGTCAGTCCTGTTTTGATAATTTTTTATTCATTTTTATCATAACAGTGAAAAAGCATAGCTTAGTCCACTACGTTGTCATCATCAACGATTGCATTATCAAATTTGTATCTGAGGGTCCACTCTCTTCAAGTTCAAGCTGAATATGCCTAAATAAACGTCTTCATAATCAATATTTGTCAAATATAGTAATAAAAGTACTACGGAACATTGTCTCTCGAAACCAGAATCAACGTACAATGTTTTTCAAGCCAAGTGACGCAAAAGTTTGTCCCACTTACCTGAGTATATAATTTGCAAATTCTTATTTTTAAGGATTAATATTTTTAAGAGTTATTTTAAATAGAAATAGATTAACACATTACTTTTATCCCTATTTTAAAAATTTAATCTTAATTTAAATTTATATTTTACATTTTTTATCTCTTTAATTTAGTTTTTTTTTTTTTATAATTCTGTAGGTGGCAAAGCTCTGCAAATGTATTTCTTTAGTTTGGTTTTATCTAACATAGTAAAATACTTATTATTAATAATTAAAATAATTTTTTAACCTTATTAAGTTTTAAAAATATTTCGAAAATATATCTTAAAATTTTATTTTAATTGAATACTAACTGTGCAATGTACCAAAAAAGAACCAATTTAAGAAAATATTATTAAAACGATCCTTTTTAATTTATCAATGCATTAAAATATTTTTTATATTGTTGTAGGCGACTTAATGATACGAATAATTAGATTCGTAAGTATATTTTGTTAATATTCTTTGCATCACTCAGAGTCTCGAAGTTGATTTTAAGAAAGATAAGACAAGAATTTTCTAAAAAAGAGGAGATAAAGGGAAAAGCAATTTATTAATGTGAAGCTTTATAACATCATCTACAATGATACACAGTAATATTTATAGTAACCTTAATACTACACAGTGTAACTTCACCATGCATGAAGCAAGGAGACCAAGAAAGTTACACTGCAATTTATTTTTGGAAATCACATATATATAGCAACAAGATTGAGTGCTATATATTATATGCCTGAAGCAAAAACTAAAGAAAATTAAGGAGACTCATCATTTCCACCCCCTCCCCAACCAGACCCATATCCTGAACCATAGCCAGAGCCACTGCCATACCCAGAACCTCCACTACCACCTCCACCGCCGCCGCCGCCGCCACCTCCACCACCTCTTCCTCCATATCCACCTCCTTGTCCACCTCCTTCTCCATAACCAGAGCCATAGCCAGAACCAGAACCATTAGAACCTCCACCTCCACCACCTCCTCCACCTTTGCCACCCCCTCCTCCTCCTCCTCCACCATTCCCACCACCACCAGACCCATATCCGGACCCATATCCTGATCCATATCCAGACCCATACCCAGAACCACCAGTCCCACCACCTCCTCCTCCACCACCTCCTCTGCCACCACCACCACCTCCTCCTCCTCCTACTGTTCCTCCACCGTACCCTTCACCCCCACCAGACCCATACCCTGATCCATACCCAGAACCACGTCCAAGACTACCACCACCACCTCCTCCTCCTCCACTACCGCCGCCACCACCACCGCCTCTTCCACCAAATAACCTCTCTGTGACCCTAGCAGCACATGCAAGTTCCACAACCAGCAACACAATGAAAGCAGCCCCTATGACCTTGGAGCTGGCCATTGTCTATTCTGCCACAAAAACACAACGTGTGATGATAAGAGAATTAAGTATATTCACTGTGAGAATGTGATTTTCATATACTGATGGTTGACGAAGAGAGCACTCAAGAATCTACAGTAGTAATATTGCTTTAGACAAAACAGAACAAATTCTTGTACTTTGATGCAAAAATGTGAGGTAAGAGACCCTATATATACACGTTGTAAAGCATGCAGTGCATTCTAGTAGCTTCCTTAACACCTAACTAATGTTACTATTGTATTGGCATATGTCATGATTGATTCCAAGGAACGTGTTGCGGGGTATTCGTTAGTGGTGGTGAACGGTCGTGTCATTGCATTTGCACGTGGTGGGTGATACAAAAGATAAATAATATTGCAAATTCTTTATAGTGGACTTTGTCTAAATTGTTTTATGAAACAGATGATTTCATTTTAAACAATGGATTAATCAAATTTTATTTGAAAATATTAAATTCAAAATCTAACATCATATAGTTAATTTTATTACTTTATCTGAGATACATTAATTTAGCTAGAGGATAACTGAGACAAACTCTAATTGGTGTTAGTGGAATCTGTGTTTTTTTTTGTCCTTATGCATAACTCTTTCCTACACATTCTTTACTCCCACTTTTGACTTGAGCATTCCTCGTTTTATATTAAAGGAATTGGAGCCAATCATCTGCTTCCCCATTTTGTCAATCTGTTCTCATACTAAGGCCACCACCAACGTATGAATGGAAAGCTTTCACACACTATTATGCACTTACATTGGGGTGGTTTGTCTCTAGATTATGTTCTAATTTCTTCAACCAATATAGATTAGTGCACAGGAAAATAAAATGCTCTCACATTAGTTTATGACAGTGGTGGAGAATGGTTAGTTAGTCAATGATACCTAGATTTCATGTTATAGTATAAAAGTAAGTATTCAATTTGACATTAGTTAATCTAGAGTTTATCTTGAATTTACATGGAATTTGTATTGTATGTTATTATTGATAATAAAATAAGATTTAGTGGAATGTTTCTGTAAAGCATTTTCAACAACTCAATGAACATGCGTCTTTAACGTAATCCGTACAATTATTCTCCATCAGATTATCACTGACTCTAAAACCAATTTCTTATAATTAAATATAATCTCATTTGAAAGTAAATATACACATTAATTACGGTCCTTCATAAAAAAAATTAGGCCCAAAACTTTTCATTTTAACTATTAAGCACACACAGACAATTATATTCATCATCTTGGCATGCACTGAATTATATCCTTCTAAAGATATTTTTGATCATATGCAATTATACAATACAATGCTCTATACTTATTAAATTATATAAAAAAATTCATTTATTATTTGTAAACAAATGGAGAATTAATAATCATATTGTGTCTCTTCAAAAATCGTATTATACAATTTAAAAACTGAAGTATAAATTGTTGATGATTAAAGCTACAAGAGTAAAGCAAAGTTTTCAGAAAATACTATATGATCCAAATAACAGCACAGGACTAATGAGAATTAATGTCTAACAGGCCTCTAGACCTGCGTATCGTTAGCCGACTTAAGCACACACAACTTTTCTAGACAGAAAAAAGCACAAAACTTTCTGAGATACACAGAGAAAAATTATGCACCACAAACACCCACTACCGTAACTCAACTACCCAAATATATACGATATACAATCTTTCGGTGGGGTTTGTCTACTTTCTTCATGAAACGTGCTCTTTCCAGTGACAAATGGCAGTGTTGAAGAATATAGCTTTCAATAGCTTCCTGTATCGCACTCTGCCTTCAATCATTATAGGTTTGGAAAATCACGTTCCTTATCGAAATGGGAACTGTAGCCATTGTCAATTTTCCTATAATTTCTTTTAACTAATATATATATATATATATATATATATATATATATATATATATATTTGATGAGTATCAAGAAATGATTTTTCTAATGCCATGATTTGAGAAAAATTAACGTTTAACATATTGTCTAATGATCATGCATGCAACTAGCAGATCCATTAAAAGTGGCAGACTCAGAACAGTGATTATATTTTAGAGGCAGCACTTAATTTTGCTTAAGAAGGTAGGAAGAGTTAGATATTGTGGTATTTTGAAGTGGGGAATTAGAAAACGTTAAACGCAGTGCTTAGTGGTACGCGTGCACCTGTCCAACTCTCACTCACAACTCACAAGAGTTATTATGCACTTTGAGTTTTGAGTCAAATCATTTTTAATTAATATAAACGATTGTCTCTTTGACACTGAAGATGCGTTTCGGTTTGGTGAACCTGGAGTCAAAAAAAATTAAGAAAGTGTTATTTAAAGTTGAAAATGATTTTTTCAGAAGCTAAAAAAATGGGGATTTGTATTTGTGGGATTTATAAAAATTTAATTCCTAAAAAACTGAGGGATTGTGTTATTTTTTAAATTTTTTATTGTTGAATGATTTTATATAATATAATATAACTTGTTATTGATGATTATTATGATTAAATTTGTATTACATTTTACTTTTTTATTTTCTTTTTTTATTCATTAAGATGACATTTTTTTTCTCCTTTTTTTTAAAAATTTTCTATGCGCACACATATCTATCTATCTATCTTTAAAATCTGCTTTTCTTCCCTAGGTATATCTGGACGAGAACGGTGAGAACAAATTCAATTTTACGTATTAAGAACTTATTTATGTGAATAATCATTCTGTAATATATAAATTATAAAAAATATTTTATTAATAATTATAGTTTATATTTTATTCACTGAAGTCTACTCTTATTTTAAAAGACGAGACTGTTCAATATTCTTCCTCACTTCGGTTTATGATTTTGTAATTTTAGATAAAACTACAAAAGATTTTAGTCCTTAAGAATTAATGCAAACTTTTGACAGCAAATGATGTAATGAATGCAAAAGCCTCAAATAATTATGTCTGTATTGCGTTAGGCCAATTGTAATAATCCAATTAATCATTGGATGTTAAGTTTCAGCCTTGACCATGCTTTATGGGTACTAAAGTCTTTCATCATTGGATTTGATTTAGCTAGTGATTAGGCTTACGCCAAATTTAATGTTTAGGTTTGATTTGACGATTCATGATAGCAGATTATTATTAAGTCCACATAAATGCTCATTGAGTTTGTGGATAACCCTGCAATATTGAATTATACATCAACTGATAAAGTTATGTAAGGAAGGGAAAAGTGATCATATTAGCGTGCATAGATAATTAAGATTAAATATTATATAGAATTTTTTACCTGACTGTTTTAAATAAATTATAAAGTTTGTGTACAAACATTACAACTGAATGATTGCGCAGCTTAGGTAATCTTTGAAAAAAATAAATAAAAAGTTAACAAAATTAGGATTAAATTAACCATATTTTTTTTTAAAATAAAAATTTCTATAAATATTAGGACTACCAAATGGTTGCACTTTAAGTAATTTTGAGATTTTTTTTATATTTCAAGTATATTTTATAAAAGAAAACGCATATATAAATAAATGATAAAAAATAACATACAATGAAAAATTGTTTAAATAACGGAACTAGTATTGATAAATATTTAACATACAAGAGGAGCCTTCCAATAATACAATAATCACAATTATGTATAGTTTATCCATTATCCATTATCCATTATCCATTATGAAATCATAATAGCAACACCAGGGCACAAATGTTAGATATGAGTGAAAATGCATCTTCTCCATCACAAACCTTAATTTTGTTTTTTGGGTTCTTTTTCTTGATAAAACAGAAAAAATAAAAAAGAAATAAAATGTTGTTGATAATAAGTTTTCAGAATTTTCTGCTGATAAAGGACAACGTATACCCATGGCTCTCTATACACTCAAAACCTTAAAACTCACCCCTTTTAATTAAGCATTAGGAATATGGTTGAACTGATCACACCTGCTCCTCACCTCTCCTTGCCTACCAGTCTTCACTTGAAACACAGAAAGCTTTTCCATTGCCTTTGCAAAATCATTGAAGAATGCTTGTTGATCTTTTGCATAGAGCTCCACAAGAGGCCTTGTCCTTGCATCCAAACCCAAAAGGGAATCAGATCTCAACAACCCCAACCCTTTTAGCACATTTTGGTAATAAGCATTGTCAAATTTCCCTGGTGACCTCACATCATTGAATGCTGCCATAGAAGGGTCCACAGTGTAGTTCTGGCACACTTGTCTCAAGCCAGCAACAAGTTTTGGGTGCATGGAAGGATCAGCATCAGAGGTCTTGCTAAAGTTAAAGATCCTGTCGCTGAACTCCTTGCAATGTGTGAACCCAATGGTGTGTGCTCCAGTTAAAGCCACCATTTCCCTGACAGTGAAACCCTTTGCGGTAAACTTGGCAATGATTTGATCCATGCTCATGTTTGTCTTTGGAAGGCTTGCATCAACTTTTGTTGCATCAGATGTGAGACTATCTTTTCTCCCTAACCTCACAGGGTAATAAGGACCACCCACCATCTTAACAAGGTCCCTTGTGGTCTGTGCAACAATGTCTGAACAAGAAACAACACCTGGGCATGCAAGTTCCAAAGCGGTTTTGATCTGAGCAATGATGTCAAAGGCATCGCCAGAGAGAGAAAGGTTCAAGTCTGCATCACGTTCTGCATGTGGGGTGTAAGCGTTGGAAGTGATGAGGATTGAGGCATCACAACCATCAGTGATGCAATCATGGAAGAAGAGGCGTAGGATTCCTGGTGCAGTTGCAGGGCTTGCGCTTTGTTTGGTGAAAACGTTTTCTCTAACGATTCTTTCAAAGTCAGGGCATGTTGTTTTGTAGTAATCAACGTTTAGCTTTGCGGAGGAGAAAGGGAGTGAAATGAAGAGAAGGAAAAGGATTGGTAAAGCCATGGGGTGTGTGGAGTAGCCAAGAGAGAAGGGTCAAGATCGAACAAAGAGATATATGTGTTAATAATGCTCTTTAATTTCTTTCTTCTCTTCCTCTCTTGGGTTTGTTTTTTTTCTTTTTTTTTTTGCAGAAGAGAAAGTGTGAGCCCCTTTGAGAAAGGACTATGGGGCAAAGGGAAGAGAATGCATTTGTGCCAACTTTGGGAACAATGGCAGGAGGCTGAAAAGGTGATAAAATGTGTGGAAGAGAGGGGTTTGAGGAGATTTTCCTTAACTTGCAATTTTCTTTCAATTGGTTCGTTCATGGCTTTGCTATTTTCGCATGCTCATGCACTATTGTTGACACAATCAACACTTTGTCATGCTTTTTTGGGTCATCTTCTTGCGGTATTTACTAGTCTTCTAACGTGGAATGCGCTTGTCCAAACATAACTTCCACTCTTTTAGAAAATGCTTCTTAAAGAAATTTCTGGTATTCCCTTTTTAGAGCCTTCCATTTCCTTCCACCAACTTTTCCTTTTTCTACTTAAGATGGTATTACGTTAAAAGTTAAAATTAGTGAAGCTATTCCATTTTTTTCTTTCTCAAAATCAGATGAAAGATGATAGAAAACTCTTCAGAATCAAAATAATTAGTCAAAGTTACAAAAATCTCACGCTCCAAGTTTTTCTTTTGTATATGTTAATACAGTTAAGGATAAATAATTATGAGTTAACATTCGCAGTTAAATTTAAATACTTATACTTATTACTAACTTTTTATAAAATAAAAAATTAATTAATTAAATTATTAAATTATCATATATTATCTTTTAATCATGTATATCAAATTTCATATAATTTGAACATTTATAAATATATTATTCAAAATTTGATATTTACTTATATTTTAAAATATTTTATCTATTAAAATTAAGTATTGTAATACATATTTTATTTTTATAGGAAGTTTTATAAATATTATCTATTTAATAAAAATTTTAAATTAATAATTGAATTAATTAATCTTACATTTTATGAAAAATTATTAAAAAATATAAATATACTAATTTGATACTTCATGTTAAAAGATTCAATAATTGTTATGTTCAAAATTTAAAAAGAGTTTGGTAAACTCTAATGTTATAAAAAAATTTAAATATGTAATTAAACACTAAAGAATAACAGCTCTACTAAATTAAATACAAATAAAATGCCTTGTTAAAAAAAGCATCGGATAAAATCGCTTGCAATGACTCTAACGAAATAAGTAATTTGATTCATTGAATGTTCGTTAAATTAGACAGAGAAACAAGAAGTCCATTTTTTTTTTAATGAAAAACATGTTGACATTAAACTTTTGAGTATATATTAAATGAACAGAGAAAGAACGAAATTTCAAGGAAATAAAACAATAAAAGTGTGATAAACAAGTATAAGGAAAAATAAATATTAAATTACAAAAATTAATTTGTTACCTCTCCCTTTAATCATTTGACACGAAAAATATATTTTTAAAAAGATTCTTACATGATATTTAGTTGCCAAAGAGATAAAGGAGGTGGCCAGAAATAGATTAGAAGAAAGTGATTTATTAAAAATATTAAAATAATTTTTAAATTTAAATTTAAATTTTTTATTTTCACTCTATTTATTTATTTAAAAAATATATTATTAATTATATTTTTTCTCTTATTTCAACTTATTCAAATATCATATTATATATATATATATATATTTTATATTTTATATTGTGTAAAAATAAATCATATTAAAAAAATCATATTTATTTCCTATTTATTTAAACTTTCATCAAAATAGGCATTAGTGATGAATGTCACGTACATAGTGGAATAAGACTTAAATACAACATAACATTTATGCCATATGTATCCTTCATTAATGATAATTTTGTTCGAGTAGTGGGTGGCAAATTTTTTATTATATTATTGTTTTTTAAATAAATAATTAAAAATACATTATATGACTATTTTTAAAATAGAAATTATAATTATTAAATATAAATATTCTATTGTATTAACCAAATTTTTAAATAAATATTGTCAAATATTAAATTTAAGATTTAAAAATAAATATATAATATAAAAAATTACTTAGTATAGTGAAAATTTTGTCACCAATAATAATTTTATCTGGCTCAAACTTATGATAAAAAAACTAATCCTTATAAATGCTGAATTAATATTTGTAATTTATATATAAAAATTTATTCTTATAGAATATTTTTAAATGCTTGTTAAAATTAAATATATTTTATTATTATAGTACTATTATATTCTAAAACTATATTTTTAAATTATTAATCAGATGTTATTAAAACTAATATATTTATTATTTAATTTAAATATAAATATGTTATTAATTTTTTTTATAATGTATTGCTTTTTCGTTGATTACCATTTTATTATCAACGCTTTATTATATTTAAACTCTTATTTTATTTTTTAAATTACCTTATAATTATCTACCTCTATATATAATTTATGACTTTTAATTAGTAAACAGTAATATTTTTGAAAGTTATTTCAAACCATAATAAGTGCTAGTTTCTTTTTATTTCCAATTTAATATTAATCTAAGTTTTTATAATTTTTTATAATTTTAAAATTTCTATTTTTAATTTAATGTTACTTAATATAATAAGATGTTTACTATTAACTATTATTATTTTTTGTTTCAATTTACAAAATCTATTAAAATTAAAAATATTTCTATATAATTTTTTAATTTACCTGTATCTATAAATTGTAAATACTAATTATTTAACAAACATTTTTGTTAGCTTAAATAAGAGCACTCTTAGAAATATTATTATATATGAACGTTTCTAGAGATTAATTATTTAATTCAATATTAATTTACTTTTTTATATTTTTAATTTTATTTTTATTTCAGATTAATTATTTTTTGATTAAATTTTAAAATAATTATATAACGTATATTTATTTTTTATTTAAAATAATTTAATTCAATAATGTATTCGTAGTGCAAAATAAAATACTAAGTTGATAATAATTATGCAATGTACTAGTTTATTGATAAGAAACCATTGGAGATTGTTGTTGTTATATGTGATAGTTTGTCATAGTGTACAGTAAGTTACAACTCACAACAAAGCTTCTTGCCGTAGCGTTTGTTCTGTTGTGTGTCTCCATTCCGAAACAAAGGTCTCCCGCGACAACGACGTATCGTTTGAGATCTCGACGGTGGCTCTCACTCCGCCACCGTCCGATCTCCTCCTCCTCCGCATCTGACCACGCCGTTTCGAGATCTGACATCACTCTCTGATAACAGGTTTTACTCCTTTTCACATTGAATTCCCATCTATTTGAATTTCAGCGTTATCGTGTTCAGCATGACCGTTAGGATTTGAAATTCGTGGTGATTTTCTGCGGTGCGCTCGACCTTGATTCGCAATTTTAGATACTTGAAGGTGCTTGTCAAGGCATTGCCAAAATAGCAAAATCACGTAATTAGGAGTATTGTGAAGTTTGTAATTGGAAAATTTTAAATTAAGAGAAATTCTTAGGTATCTGATTTCCTTGCTAGTAAGTTTTTTCTGTTTTTTGGAACTTGTTAGTGTAGAGTAATGCTGGTGAAAGCTGTTTTTTTTAAATTCAATGGTAATGGGAAAGCTATGGCACACAATCACTACTCTTTGTAAAATTATGCATCTATAAAACGTAAGATCTCAAAATGTGGTTGCAAGGAGTTCTTTTGCTTGCTAGCGGTTGGCGTAACTAGAAAAGAAGTGTTATTTCAAGATCAAACGAAAACTCAATCTGTTTCATGGTGATCAGGGTGTAGGAATAGATTCTGATGTTTAATTTTCTGTTAAAACATAAGAGAGAGGGTGTGGACGCAGCATCTTCTTAAGGTCTATTAGAATGCTCCTAGATTGGTCATTCGATTCCTGCCTTTTCTCCCTAAATTTATCTTGTGTCAATCCGTTGTCCCCATTCTGATATTTCTTAGTATTCCTTGTATTATTTTATTACTTCCTCATACTTTTCTATAATAATTGATGCATTCAAAGGTTACCTCCTATGTTTTTTTAGCCAGCAATAAATTCATGTACTTAAGATATTGATGTGTATCTCTGTCTCTCTTTATGTGTGTTTGTGTGATGGTGTGAATGATGTTTGGAACTTGTGATTGTTATCTGTTTTGCTCAAGGAAGCAGAGACACTTCAAAATAGTCATAGGCTCATAGCACTGGTGTCATATAATACATTTCAGATCCTCTTAGTTTCATTTTTAAATTTTTTTTATACTAATAAAAATGGAAATACCTTAACAATTCTATAAATAACAGTACTTTATCATCTCTAAAATGACTAATGCTAAATTTAAAATATTGATTTTTATTTAATTTAAGATTCATATTTTTATGTTAGTACTAATTTTATATGTTGCATAAGAGTCAGGTGATGTCTAAGATTTTTTAAAATTTCTTGTATTCTTGTGTCCTTGCTTCCTAAGTTTTACACCTCTGGATCTTTTTATGTGTGTTGTTTTGACAATTTGTCATTTGAGATTCTTTGCCTGTTTATGACAGTTAAAGCCTGAAGTGACAATTAAAACAAAGGTGATTCCAAACAGTTTTTCCTGGACTAAAGGAGAACCGGAGAAATATGGAAGTCAACAATTGTCATAAGGAGCTCACATATGATAAGTGGGTACCGATCTCTGTATCTGGTGCACGTCCAGCTGCTCGCTACAAGGTTTCTTCTGTCCTTTTTCTTCATTTCCTTTTTATGAGTTATTTTTCTTTTGAGTGCTAAAAGTCCTTAGTCATTGTTGGCTTCTCGGCTGAAGTTCTTCCTTGGCCTTGAATCAGATACTTATCCCATATTTTATTCTTCACTGTAGCATGCTGCAGCAGTAGTTGATGAAAAATTATACATTGCTGGTGGGAGTCGTAACGGTCGACACTTATCTGATGTTCAGGTATAGGGTATGAACAGATGCTTCTGAATCTTGGACTTGTTGTAGTGGGTCACATGACTTATCTGTTTGCAGGTTTTTGATTTAAGAAGTTTGACGTGGTCTTCTCTGAAACTAAAATCAAATATTGGAGAAGATGATGACAATAGCTCACAGGAGATTCTTCCAGCCACTTCTGGCCACAATATGGTAACAATTTGTATAACAACTCTCTCTATGTGCATATATTTTGTAGGATGCAATCTTACTTTTGTTAGTTTGGCTACTGATGAACCATGAATGTTAGTGATAATCTGGGTGTTTGATTTGTTCTGATGGAGACTTGGAATTTTCTACAGATTTGGTGGGGGGAGAAACTACTTCTTCTTGGTGGCAATTCAAGGGATTCTGCTGCTGAATTAACAGGCTAGTATCTGAACAATGATTTTTATAATGGGTTGAAAAACATATGAGTGCCTGATTATTTTATATCCATGCATGGCATATTATAACATGTTAACACATAGGAATCTCACAATGTTTGTTAGACTTCTTGCAGTTCGATACATTGACATCAAAACATGCCAATTTGGAGTTATTACGACTTCTGGGAGTGTTCCAGTAAGTGTGTCCATTGATGTAAAAGTTTGAACTTCTGTCCATGGATGTTGAGTTTTTGTTCGGTTCCTTCATCAGTATCCTACTGTAAATGATTTTACTGAGAAATTGGTTTTTGATATAGCCTAATGATGCTGATCGATCCATGTAGCCAGTTCCAGCTAATGGGATAAGAGTTGATTGTTACTGTTGTTGTATCTTCTTTATCCTACTTTTTCCTTTTGAATTATGTATGTAGGATATTCTACTTTTTAATATCTTTGTATGCTATGTGGTAGTCACTTTACTTGTGATTGAATACATATTTGAATGTTTTCAATTTATTTTTCCAGGTAGCCCGTGTGGGGCAGTCTGCAACACTCGTTGGTTCAAGAGTGATATTGTTTGGAGGAGAAGATATGAGCAGGAAGCTGTTGAATGATGTCCATGTACTCGATCTGGAAAGTATGACTTGGGAAATGATAAAGACTACGTAAGTGGAATCTATTTTACACTTTCAGAAAGTGGGTTTTCATGCTTTAGAGAAGTTACAAATAACCATATCACTTTCTTGCATTTTGATAGGCAGACACCTCCAGCTCCTAGATATGATCATGCAGCTGCTATTCAAGGAGAGCGGTACCTTCTGATTTTTGGTGGTTGTTCTCATTCTGCCTTCTTCAATGATCTTCATTTATTAGACATGCAAACAGTGAGTGAATCAGAGAATATTGCTTCCCAACTTTTTTTCATGCATGTTTACTTTTTACTAAGCTTGTTTCTTCCATTCTGGGGTGATCAGTTACTTCAGTATATTACATATGCACAAAAGTGAATTTTGATATAATACTGTCATACCTCCCACTACCCAAGTTACTGTTGGAAGAAAAACAAGAATTGCCCAGACTTAAGGCATGTGTGGGTTGATGGTGATAGTGGGAATAAAATTCACTTTGATATCAGAATCAAAGGAATCTAAGTTAGGGAAGGAGGCAGTAGATGCCTTGAAGAGTTGGTACTATTTATTCTTTGTCCTCCCCCGGGTTCATCTGGTGCTAGCCACTGAACAAGAGAGGAGTGTGAGAACTTTCTGTTATACTAAACTTTTATTGGCCTTTAATCTAGCTTCTTCGTTTGTGGATTACTGCCAATCGATGGGCATTTGACCTTTTTCTTTTAAAAAAGCAAAATAAGAAATCCAATTTTGCCTACCAGATTGTTTTGTAGAGTAGGTTGTGTTGTCTTGCAGAGGAACGTCTTGAGACCTTTTCTTTTCTGTAATAATTTTTTTTATCTATATAATTGTAATATACTTATTCTGGGTCATTATTTTGACGAACCCATGCAATGACTTTTGATGGTTGTCAAGGTAACACTCATTAATATAAAATTGTGCTATCAATTAGTGATGCTGCTAAATGGTATTGGAATCTTGATCTTCTCTTTTTTTTGGGGTGGGGGTGGGTACATGGATAAGAACAAATAAAAGCAACTGACCCTGATACAGTTATTTGTCTTTCACTCAGGCTTCGTTCCTGTAATTTGATGGACTTATGGACTGTCAAGGTTTCTACACATTTGGCTAACATTCACTGACAATTTAGGGACATAAACTGTCTGGTTGACGAGAGTTATCTTTACTCAAAGCTATTACCCTAAGAAACTAATAGGTGAGTTTTAGCTTAAAGTATGTGCAGGTGGCTAGGTAAAATACATTGTGCAATAGTAAGAATGTTTCATAGGTGTTATTGGAACCATTAGATGCAGACATTTGTTTAAAGTGGTAATCATACTCTTTTTATGGGAATGTGGAGCTAATGTAGCTATTCACCTCCACATAGGTCGGTAATATTTCATGCAACAAAAAATTTCTTTTACTGGTTTCTTGGCAAAGATTTACTGTTTCAGTGGAACTTTCTTTATTATGAAGTTTTTGTGAAATATAAGTATTTTTGTTGTGCTCCTTTTCTGAAATTTGCATCCATTGGAGAATTCAGTAATTGGAATTGGAAAGGCTTATAACTATAAGTGATGACTGGCAAACTTGTGCATTGACGATGACTAGTGTGCAAATTTGCAACTCAATACGCTTTTTTGCATCTTATGCTTGGTAGATACTGTAATTTATGAAGATCTCCTCACACATGTTGGCCTCTTAAGTCGAAAATGTTTAGTTGGAAACATAATGTTTATTTGTTTACTTTGTTCATCTGGTTGTAATCCATGGAACGAAAGGGAAGAGAAATTTTGATAATCCTACTAAACTTTAGAGTTTATTTTCAATTTATATTTACCTATCCATAAAATTTCTCTTGCCTTGTCCATTAAACATATAATGATAATAAAATCTTGTTTGGTTCAGATGGAGTGGTCCCAACCACAAACACAAGGTGATTTTGTATCTCCAAGGGCTGGACATACTGGTATCAGTATTGATGAAAGCTGGTTTATAGTTGGTGGTGGAGACAATAAAAGCGGTATGTAATTATTTTTTTTATTTTTTTTAAATTAAAAAGAATTATTAGACAAAGAGTGGAAAAAGTTTATTTCTTTTTGCTTATTTGGATGAATGAAATGAAAATAGAAAAAAATAAGTAAATTTAATTCTATGAATTTTTATAATAAAAAATTTAATTTAATAATTAAAATTTTTGTGATAATATTTTTTCCTTAATAAATTTTCCATATTATATGAAATATTTTTAACATAAAAAGTATTAAAAAACCAATACTTTTCTCTCCCTCCCTCCCCTCCCTAAAAAAGGGGGGGGGGGGTGTGTATTTTCATGAGGACCTCACCTCAAATGAACTATACAACTGCTTAAAAGTGAAGTGTGTGATTCACACACTTCATTCTTTGTGAATGTCTGATTATCAAATTTCAAAACAGGTTGCCCTGAAACCCTGGTGTTAGACATGTCTAAGCTTGTTTGGTCAGTGTTGACTGTTGTGAAGCAAAAAGATCCACTTTCTAGTGAGGTAATTACTCTGTGCATTCCATCTGTTACATTTTTTTACACGGATTTCCAGGAATATTGTATGGAAGAATGTAATTTTTGTCTTCTTCAAGGTCTGTTAGAGTTGGCTGCGATATCCGTTATTGTTGATTTCAAGTCTGTTTGAATATCATTATATATGTATTTAGGATTTTCATATGTTCTTGTAAATTTCTTTTGCCTTGAATATACATATTTGTTTATTTGCATATTCAGTATGAGTTGATTGGGATAATGTTTTCGGTTTTCTTTTGAACATTGAAGTAGGGACCCAGAACTTTCTCTTTTCATAAAACAGAGATCTCTGTTTCCAGTTTCCTCTAATTTCTCTTCTACTGGTTTCTGACAGTGTATGTAGGTAGTGGAAGTTTTAGGACATTCTTTTTTATTTATGTATGAAGTTTTGGATGCAAGTGAGAGCAAGTGAAGTCTAGAATGACAGTTATCCACCTATAAGCTTTGAGAATCATGAAATTTTATCCATTGATATCTGAAATTCAAAGGAGTCTCAAAGATGATGAAATCCTGCTTCAATTTAAGTATGGATTTCATAATAAAGTGGGATATTATCAAATGTGTCATTTCTCCTTGTCTTGATGAGCCTTTATGCATATACACTGTTGACTATTCCACCGCTATACAAGTTAAATCCTCCTATTATTAGCTGTGGTTTCAATCTTTTGCTTACATGTTTACAATTCATCAACTTTTCTTTTTAGAAGCACCTCTTCATTCACAAAGTATGATGCAGTTAAAAGAAATGGGGAGAAGGAACCTTTTTCTTGAAAACTCAAATTCATTAAACTAAACAAGCTTGGTGGCACATACATTATGAAGTGGAGAAATAATCTAAAATTACATAATTCCTGCAGAATTGGAAGCAAGTTGCAATTAATAAGAAAGCATGTTTATCAACGGAGTGGCTTTAATACTACATGCAATGTGTCAAGCAGAGTAGTTAAACATAAAATAATGGGTCCCTCACTTCCATAGGGAGAAAAACCACGAGATCTTCCAGATTTGAGGAAAAAAGTAACCAAGTTCTCTAATGTATTTTATCTACCACAGACTGAGGTAGATTTAAGGGATTGAAAGAAAACACCAAAAAAAACTACATATGAGGACAGCAAGGGATGCCACCTTGGGGAGATACAGCAGGAACCCCAAAAGGGCACCTTGAAGATGAATAAAGAGAGGCTAGAGAGAAGAAGAATGAGTGGAATGCTCTTTATGTGTAACTGAATATGATAATGGTTGTGTAAGCAATTGCTTGTATGAAAAAGACTGTGATATTAATTCATGCCTTGTTATGTTAATGCATTTTCTTTATCTATTGACTTATATGTGATGCAAGTATTTATTGCTTGTCAGGGTCTTAGTGTCTGCTCAGCACTGATTGATGGAGAAAAGTATTTGTTAGCTTTTGGTGGCTATAATGGGAGGTATAGCAACGAGGTATGTGATGTAACCTCTATTTATATTTTTTGTTGGCTATGCAGGATTGGCTTTCTTATTTTGTTTCTGTCAGGAAGATTTATTTATGTGCTTTTGTCAATGATTGTCCCTGTTATCCTTGATGATAATTCATGCATAAACACCCTCTGCCATGTGATTGTTCAAGTCTTTAAGATGTCATTTTTCATCAATTCTTGCCATTGGAGAGGTTTTGTACTTGGATTGGTCCTTTTGGCAGTGTGAATGATTTTGCTCAGTAGCTTGGGTGATTGCGTGTATGCTTCTGTTTCAGCAAATGTTGCTCCTCTGCCTGCGCATCTGGACATACAAGTCTGTTTATTTAGACCATGTATGCCTACTAGTTTGCTTTAATGGGAACAACTTGAATCTAACTTTGTTGAAGTGTTCTACTAGAGTCCAGACTGCCTGCTTGTTTGGATGTGTGCCTCCTCTTTTTAGCTTCACTTGCAAACTTGAAAGGTTTTTGACTTGCTGCTCCATCTCGTGTGAATATTTTGCAAAGAATTGGGTCTTTAATAAAAAAGGAGCTAGGGATTTGTGAAGGTTTTGGGAAAAATTGGAAGGGAATGACTTCAAAGTTGAAAGAGCTCACACGGTTTGCATGTCTTACCATTCAGGCATCAGACAATAGATGAGGAAAGAAATCACAGGGTGGTTATACTGGTTATGTTATGACATAGCGAATCACAGGGTGTTAGCAAAGTGTCAATTTTCATAACCTCATCAGCACAGTGATTTCAAGTAAAACCACATGAGGGTCGACTATGATTTTACCCTTTTCAATGTGATATTACGATTCATCAGAAACATTGCTCTAAATTATCTTAGAAATGATGAGGAATTCTTTCTTTTAGAGGCTATTGCAACAATTCCAAGAAAATAAAGTAGATACATGGAAATGTTGCACTTCTGACTTAGGAGATATGAAAATTTATTCACCAAAGAAACATCTTCAGTTGTGATCAGAACCCTGGGCAAGGATTGATTTAAGAGATATGAATCTATTAAAGAGCTTCTCATAATTTACAATAACTAAAACTTAATGCAACTTGAAAAATGTGGAAATCACATGATTTGTTACTTGTATTTGTTCAGCTTGTTGGGAGTGAACATACCAGAAAAGATAATATTAGGAATAAATATATCAGGGAGAAATTTGGAGAAAATATTACACAAAATTTCCTCTGGTGATTTGGTCATGTTAGAAGTAGACCAATGGAGGCTTCTGAGAGAAAAGTGGTTAAAATGGAACATAGAAGAAAAGTGGTTAAAATGGAACATAGTTTGATTCATAAATACCTCTTACTAAAAGGCTTGGTTGTTTTTCATGCAAATTAAATTCAATCAATCAGGATTCTACCTGACATTATGCATTGCCAATGGCATGTTATGCCGCAAATTCTGAATTGGCTTGTTTTACTCATTTTTAAGTGCAACCTTTTTAATTAAATTTTAATGCTTCCATGAATGGCTGATGATTGGGCCCCTTGCAAATTCAGGTTTTTGTCATGAGACCCAAGGCAAAGGACACCTTGCGTCCCAAGATTTTCCAATCACCAGCTGCTGCAGCTGCTGCAGCTTCCGTTACATCTGCTTATGCATTGTCTAAATCTGAGAAGTTGGATTTCGTGCAACTAGATAATATAAATTCCAAGTCAACTGTAAATGGTCATCCTCAAGATGATGTCACAGACAAAATTGAAGCCATTAAAGAAGAAAAACGGCAATTGGAGTTGTCAATTGCAGAAGTCAGGGCTGAAAATTCCAAGCTCGGAGGAGAGATAGAAGAAGTAAATAATACTCATGCTGAGTTGACCAAGGTATATATTACAATTTTCATATGAAGTTGCACTATAATTTAATAGGTAGCTGTATTTTTCATCATTTTAAATATGTATTTCAGGAACTCCAGTCAGTCCAGGGACAACTTGTGGCTGAGAGATCAAGATGCTTTAACCTGGAGGTACAAATTCACTTTTCTATTTTTGAATGATATAACAGCTAGATAGTTGTTTTTAGGATTGAAGTATATTAGTAATGTTTGTTTCCAGGCCAAAATTGCAGAACTCCAAATTTTGCTGGAATCAATGCAGTCTGTGGAAGATCAGGTACAGGCTCTTCGTGAAAAGAAGTCCGCTCTGGACCAGGAGATGGAGCTTGCTGCAACTGCTCAGAGGCAGAGTACTGGTGGAGTTTGGCGATGGTTTGGTGGGAGTGAAACATGAAAAGTATGAGGGCAATGCCAACTAAAAGTGACTTAGAGTTGAGTCTGAGGAACCTCAACAGATTATTATGTTGTGTTATTTTAGTTCATGCAGAAAATGACATTTCCTTGTTACAGAGCTTTTACAGTGTTATCTTGAGTTGAAATGCATGATGGACTCCAATTTTGAAGGACTTAAGTCTGAAACTTTCAAGAGACCGGTACACAAGCTTTTTGTATTTATGATTCGTACCTTAATAGGTTTACTTTTGTCTGATTCATTTCATGTTGTGTCCATTAAATTCTCTAGGATTTAATTATATTTTATTCATTTGAGTATATATTGGCTTCTTATTTTCATCTTTTTTTATTCATTCTACATATTATTAGCTAGTGCGTTCAATTGCTAGAGGAATGCAATTTTAATTTTATTTAGGTTTAAGCTTGATGACTTCTTTGAACACACCTATGTTATCCATCTATAGAATTCTTTTTGGAAGTCGTGGAACTCCCATCGCCCCTCCTCACTTTTACATATGGGGTGGCCCTTATTTTCAGATTTGGTTTGATTCGAAGAACAATGGTCATGGGTGGTGAGGATTTGTTATCGCACGTAAAAGATTGTCATAATGTGGTTCTAGTGGACTTGTATTCTCTCAATGTGGGTGCTTGAAGGCTTATGGCTTGTTCGTGTCCTGAATTAATGTTGGTAGAAGATTGCCTGTGAGCAGAAGAATGCTCATTTCATATTCGTGTATTTACACTCAATGTGGATAAGTGTCTATAGAAGATGAAGACTTAAGGAGTTAGGTGAATTGACATTGAAGTTGGTATTTTCTGTGACTGGAATTTGCCTCGATGATATTGAAACCCGTAGCCAGCATGAGTAGATAGCCAACAATTCAACTGCTGAAAGAGCGGCTCCGTTTGTATAGGAAATCCATTTTCACAAACCTAAAATAAATAAATAAAGCGAAGCAGAAGAAAAATTGCTACCGTTAAATATTTCTCCTGTTGCGTTAACTGAATGAATTTCTAAAGAAACTCTAATTCATAATTTGATCAAGATTTAGTTTTTTATGAAGACATTTTTTTAAATTGGCTTAAATATGTAATTTTTTTTATTTTAATTTGTCAAAACATTTATTTTTGTCCTTATATTTTAGCAGATTATTATTTTTAGTCTTTTTAGTTACATAGTCCAATAAAAATTGACATTTGGTAATATTTTAATGAGTCAAATCAACAATAAAATTAAAGACAAAATATTAGTGAAAAAGTAAGGAGTGAAGTATAAAAAAATTGTTTGAAGAGATTAAAATAAAAATTTATTAAAATATGAGATTTAAAAACATATTTAAGGATTTGAAATTTTACTGGTTGAAAAAAAATCAAGCCCATTTATTTTTCACAACTACGGTTCAACTACATGGCTTTTAGCGAGAAAATTCCAACCGGTCAAACCAATATATTAAAACAAAATTATATCGAACAGCGAGGGTTTTATACTTAATACATAACATAAAAAAAGATATATAAAACCAAAAAACCTGTTACGTTATATAATTAAATTTCTTTACGCAATGCTAGATCAGTTCTCAAAATAGAAAACCTGACAACCAAAGTGTATCAATTGGTTTTTCCATTATAACATGAGTAGAGGACCACTTTGGCAACTATTTTTTGGATCATACTGATTAATTGTATAGGTCCAGATGGTGTTCAAGGGGAGGTTGTGTCTAAAAATATTATTACAAAAGCTAAATTAGCACAATATTTACTAAAATTTATCCACAACTTTAATACAACTGGTAGTGGTACAGGCAAACAAAGCCTCAAAAGGCTACAGAACAAATCAAAATTCATGAACTCTCGTAAAGATATAAAAAAAGGACAAAGGGCAATATTCTTTATTAAGAAGCATTTATTTTGAGGCACCGAGTTGCATTCTGATTTCACTGTTTCTGGTGAGTTGATTCTTCTCTACTTTTTGCCCATATCCGTTTGATACCAGTTTTAGAATACAAATATTAAATGTCTACAGGAAAATTGATATCTTAGAACTAAGAGACAAAGTAAAACATTCTGGAACACTACTATTTATACCAAGGTTATTCATAACTTGGAGACAAGTTGATATTTGCTTTGAGAAACAAGATCCTTGCGCAATATCTTACCAGCAACTGACCTTGGAATTGTGTCAATGAAACTCACCCTTCTAACTTTCTTATATGGAGCCACCTGAAAATTCTCAAATTTACTCTAAGATAAAAAAAAATTAAAATGATCATAGCAAAGAGAGGAGGCAGAAGATGAGAGTCACCTGGCCTGCAACATATTGAATGACTTGATCTTCTGAGAGTTTAGACCCAGCTGCTCTCACCACATATGCCATTGGTATCTGTCCAGTTTCTTCATCTTCAACTCTGCAACATATCTTTCCACATGAGAAAATCACACATAATGAAAAAGGATAAAATATATTTTTAGCTCCTGTAAATATAACTAAATTTAGTTTCATATTTTGATAACTAAAATCAAATTTAACTATATTTACCAAGACTAAAAATATATTTAAGTCTAATGGAAAATGAGAGTGACAATAAGAGAGGGTAACACACGGTATAACTGCTGCATCAACTATAAGGGGATGACCTAGCAGCACAGATTCCAGTTCTGCAGGAGCCACCTGACGCAACAATTTGATATTTTGTTAACTACAGAAATTCACTGTCTGAATTTCAAGAAAAACAAAACTGCCAGTATTGAAAACTGAAAGAAACTATCAAGGCTTGGAGTACCTGATACCCATTGTGCTTGATTAGCTCCTTTATTCGTTCAACTATATAAACAAATCCATTCTCATCAATATAACCAAGATCACCTGTTCTCAACCAACCTTCTGAATCAATTGTTGCAGTTGTTGCCTCCATATTTCCTAAATATCCTTTCATAATAGAAGGACTTTTCAACCATAACTCTCCTTCCTTACAAGGAGGCAAAGGCTTGCCTGTTTCAATGTCTATCACTTTTGCACAAAAAGTTGGAATCAACTTCCCACATGAATCTTGATGAGCTTTTGCATCTTTATCTGAAACAAAAAATGATGCAGCCCCGCAACTTTCTGTTAGCCCATAACCTGGCCTAAGTTCAACCCAAGGGAACGTTTTTCTAAACTCCTGTGACACTTCTCTGCTCAAAGGTGCAGCACCTGATCCCACCCTTCTTAGGCTTGACAAGTCACATCTAGCTTTGCTTGCATATTTCACTAGTGCAAGGATCACTGGTGGCACTGCTGGTAAGTTATTAACTTTGTGTTTTTGGATAGCAACAAGCATAGCTTGGAAATCAAATTTCTGCATCAAAATGGTTTTAACACCAACACACAACAATCCTAATCCAAAGAACACCAGTCCATACACATGAAACATTGGAATGAAGGCCAAGAAAACATCATCTTGGGATGCACTTACATCAGCAGACCAGAAGAGTAGTCTCATTATGGAAATGAGATTTGCATGTGTCAAAACTACACCTTTGCTTACTCCTGTAGTCCCTGAAGAGTAAAGTATAGCAGCAGTGTCTGATTGTGCCACGGGAACATGTGGCAACTCTGGTGAATTATAACAGCCTTCTATTAACTCTTCAACTGATAACATTTCCCCATCAGAAGGACGCAAAGTGAGAATTGTAGGAATCCCAGTTGGGACCAATTTGTGTAGCTCCTCAGGTGCTGAGATGGCTAGTTTAGCACCTGAATCGCGTAATTGCTTGGCAATTTCTGCCTCAGTGTTGAGAGGGTTAGCAGTGGTCAAAACTGCTCCAACCGATAACACAGCTAGGCATATGGTTGAGTATAAGATTGAGTTTGGTGACAATACAAGTACCACATCACCTTTCCTAACCTCAAGTCCATGGAACAAAGCTGATGCAAGGGAGTAAATAGACCGGCGAAGATCGCCATAGCTTAAACTCCGATTAGTACCTGAATCAATGAATGCAATTCTTGCCTCAGCAAGGTCTGCTTGTGGAAACTGTGACAGCACATAATTAGTAGCGTTAAGGTCAGGCTTTGTTGGAATTTCATGCTTGGTTCCAAGCTTAACAAGAGAGTGATAAATGCCTGTTCTAGAATTGTAGCCACTCTTGTTATCAAATGGAGGCAGAGATTTTCCGTATTCTTCTTCAGTTGATGACCAGATTTCCTCTCCTGACATTTTTTTCTGCAAATTTGATAGATGTGTTAAGCAAGTAATCAATGCTAAGCTAAAGATTTGAGGCCGAGGAAAAATGAGTGTGAACCATAATCAACATATATACAATGCTTTTCTTCGTCAAGTACTAGGACCAACATTGTTAACTATGTCAGTTATAGCAAGGACAAGATTAATAATGAAAATTAGATTTTATTTTCTATGTTGCCGGCCGGGAGAGAAAATTGAATCCTCTCCAACTTCTCTCAAGCCAAAATCTTTACCATACATTTACAAGAAAGGGTCAATCTAATACATGCATTGGTCAATATAATTATAAGATTGATCAATCACAAATGTGAGATTTGTTAATGAGAATAGATGAGCATAATAAAATTTTCAATGTGATTGGTCAATCTACTTCTTAAATTACTCAATTTGTTGGCTGGAGAAAGGCTGTAGAGAGATCTGCTGTAGAGGACCAAATCAGCCAAGAGGGTGAGACATGGCAAGTAATAGTATTAATTATGCTAAACGATATATACTAGAAGCTATGTACAGAGGACAAGAGAAATAATTGAAAAATGAATATTCTTTTCCTGAAGAATATTTGAAGGATGTAGATATTGTATTTCTAATCATCTGCATTCTTACATACATGTGCTATATATAAACCCATTAGCTTTTCATTGCCACGGTTACAGTTCCATTATCTTCTTTGTCACCTTTTTAAATAAATATGATGCATTGGAAATATCTAAACTCTAAATGAGACAATGACACTTTGTTATGATAGATTTCATGTTGAAATTCGACATTTTTGTAAATGTGGACTCCAATTATAAGAAGGATTCAGGGTCTTTAACTTTTACAGTACACAAAAATATTTGAATGGCGAAGTGGCATTTCTTTATAAACATTCCCTCATTAAATTCAATAGTATAGCATATACTGAAGCCTTGAAAGAATTTACTTATGGATTTATTACTTCATTGTTAAAATTTTCATTTTTTAAAGTAACTAGTGTTCTTAAAATTAAATTTAATGATTTTTCTGAAGTGTGTCAAAAGACATGTAATAAGATAAACTATAATTTTAAAAGACTTAAATGTCTCAAAAAAGAAAAGAATAATATTATCCTTTTTTTCTTTTAAAGTGACACACTCTTTCATTCAAGTTTGCAATATTGTTGGGTTCACTACCTTTAAAATATTGTTCACTTTAGCATTTGTTGACCTCACGATTTTGTCTTTAAAAAAATGAAGAGTTGGAAGGCTTTGCAACTCATGTATGGCCTAGGCTCTCTTTCTAATACCAATGTTCCATTCAAATTTTGCTCAAGTCCATAATACTATTAGCACTTAACTTTTTCGTAGTTTATTTTTTATGGGTATTTAGAATATTAACCAGTGGAATGTATTTTATTTTTTTTTATCGAAAACTCAAAAACTAAGATTAGCTATCTAGATAAATTGATGAAGCAATTTGTAAAATATATTACTGTAGAAACATCTTATAAATAAAAAACATTTTTTAAGATGGTGATCTTAATTAACTCATATTACACTTCAAATTTAGAATACCATCCATGATTAAAAAAGAAAAAAAAATTCTTTGGTCTCTGTCTTGGATGTAGGAAAGGAATATTGAGAATCGAGAATAACAAAGGGGGTGAATTGTTAGTTGAGATTATGCCTAGATCACTCTCTTGAAAAGGATATTGAAAGATGCTTTAATCTTTTTGTATGCCCATGTCCTAGATAATTAGGAAACTTTTTTATATTAAAAAATAATCTTACTTATTCTAAAAATACTATTCCAGTAAATTACATGTAAAATATTATAAAATATGTATTTTTGTCAATCATTACACTTGATGCTAGATTTATTCTTAAAGTTGTGCCTTCTTAAAAATACCCAGTCAAAGATTAAAAAAGAAAAACAAATGAAAGCATAATATCATGTATATTAAATTATTTGTAATTTTTTTTACTATATATGAATAAGTTAGTCATATCTCTAAATAAAGTTATTTATTTTATAATAATATTTATATTTTATTAAATCATAAAAAAAGTGTTAGAAGAAATTGTATTTCAATTAATAAAGCACGACTAATGGAGATAAGTATAAAAATATAATTACTTAACTAATATAAGGATAAAAAAGAGTGTAAACATTTTTTTAAAATACTAAAAATAAAAATTATAATACCTTATCTATTGTCACCTCTACTCAAAGGAATGTAGCTAGGAGAATGTGGATTGCACGCACGCACGAGTTGTTATTAACTAGCTTGCATGCCATATATTGTGGAGAGAAAATTGTTATGGAAACATCCTTAACTTGAGTTAAACTTAAAATGTTGATGTCTAATACAAGAAAACTACTAGGAGAAGTGAGAGTAACAATCTTATTCATTAGGAAAAAAAAATCATTTTTATGATTAAAATTTCATGTTTTAGTGGTTTAAAATCACTGTAAATTAACTATTAACAGTTAAAAAAGTATCAGATCTACATATGCTATAAATTATTGCTAATGATTTTTGTCTAGTCTATGGCAACAACACGATTATGAATTGAACTGCCAATTTTTTTTTAATATTATGATTTGAAATTACCACAAAATTTTTGGTTGAGTTTCAGAAAATAAAGTATAATTATAATCAATAATTACAAATAAAACATTTAAAAACACAATTGCCACACAATGACCCTACAATTTTAGCAACAATAGACTACTACACCAAGAATTTTACTCATTTGATCATCTAGGTAAAACTTTTACTTCTTATCATTTTTTTACGAAAATTATGAAATATAGCATACTGACACGCTAATGCGCCACTCTACACAAGGCGTATATATTCTTCACGTGACTTAAAAAGGTGTATGTAGTGGTACCACCGAAATATGATATTTACATATATAGTATTTAATTCATATACAACATGTTGATAGTTTAATGAATTCTATTTAATAAAACTTAATCACTTTCATTGGTCCATTATTACATAAAATATTTATATATGGTGTATCCAATGATTTTTCAAAGTAAAGAAATGAATTGAAGATAGACCAACCTTCAAAGGATACCTTGACATGTGTCATTTCTATGACCTTATACTGTATTTCAAATCATCCTCTTGTTCTCTTGCCCTCCTTTTTACCCCCTACTTTTCTGGTTATCAACCTCCACTTTGCAGCCTCTTAACCAAACGTTATCTTTGCTCATTCCCTCCTCATAAGCATACCCTTTGGAAAGTTCTTCAAAAGTGTTGCTTATACTCAGCTCCAGAGGCAGAAAAAGTGCTTTTTCTTTTTTTCTTTTTTAAACTTCTTATCTGAGACTCTATCTCTGTTGCCATGGCTGTGACACAATTTAACCCCGCTTGTGCAAAAACTCATCTTCACTCATCGCAACTCTCATTTCTATCAAGGGGTCTCCCTAGGCACCGCCACTGTGCTTTTGCACCTCTTCATAGAACTCAACATGCAAAGATTTCTTGCTCTGTTGCACCAAAGTGAGCAACTTTACACTCTGCATCCAACATTTTCAATTTTCAGCTACTTGGGTATGACTGAATTTTACTCCTTTCACTTCTCAGTCAAGTGCAGGTGCCAGCTGTGCAAATCCAGGAGCCCAAGGGTAAGCCTGATTGCTATGGTGTCTTCTGTCTCACCTATGATTTGAAGGCTGTAAGTGATCCTTCCTCTTTCTTCTGTGTTTCATCCATGTATTTCTGTTGTTTTAGGTTGTCTTAAAATGAAATTGTGGGTTTTGTCCATGATTCTTTGACTATGTTCCTTCCCGCTACTGATTGATTCCTGGGTTTTGCGGTGAAGTTTATGTTTGTCAGTATGTGCATGTCATGATGATACCCAATTTCTTTTGCAGCGTGTATTTAGGCTATATGATAGAATTGAACTAGATTGGTGTATCTCTGTCTTAAACTGCTCTTGTCTCGATTCCTTATCTGTTGTTAAGTTTGGTCTATGCAGATGCCTTCTGTTTGAACACCAATAATCAGCCAAAAGGCGTAAAAAATATTGTTTGTTGTCTTCCATACCAAAATGTCAGTCTTGTACTGTCAAAATGCTGAATTTAATCAATTTTACCTTCATTACTATTTCATCATTGTGCTTTTGACAGGTTAGTCTCCAATATTCTTATGTAATTGGAGATCACTAATACTTTAGAGAAATCCATAAGGAAATTGTAACAAATGTCAGAAATAATTTGGAGTTGTGTCCATCAAATCGTGCACCATACAATAACAATTCATAGAGCTACCTTGGTCCTATTAATTCCTCCAGATACAGAGTGTCGCCATCTCAGACTAAATCATTTGTAATTTGTTTCCTTTGGTGATCTTTTAAATTAGTAAAGTACATATCGTTTCGTCTCAGTTAATCTATGATAGCATGGTGTGACAGGAATGTAATTACAGTACTTCATTGCTATAGTGATAGTGGCTTTTAAGAAAATTGTTGGGCTATGCTTGATACTTTTAACTTATTGTACAGGATGCATTATCCCGTAAATCTGTAAATACTTTTCTCTGTCCAATTTTCCATTTATATTCAATTGAATATACAATCTAATTTCTATAAAAAAAAAAAAAACACAAGATGAACAATTAATTGAATTTGAGAACATTAAACTAATATTTTATGGGTGTTATTTTTTATGAGATATTTGAAATCTAACGGCTCTTTGATTTATGACATGGTTGAATTTGTCAATGTAAGCTATATGTCTTATTGAAACATTTGGGTAATGTTTTTGCAGGAAGAAGAAACAAGATCCTGGAAGAAATTAATTAACATTGCAGTCTCAGGTGCTGCTGGGATGATTGCCAATCATCTACTTTTCAAGGTAATGTATCTTGGATTTATGTAAGAACCATGTCAGTGTAGCACATTAGAAGTTCAACTCTCTTTTCTCAAATCATCTAGTTTCAATTTTTTTAATCAGTTCTCTCAGGTTAAGATTTTTGAAGTCATTGAAAGGGTAGAACATGGTTGAGGTTGATAGTTTGATATGTTGTTGAGGTTGCTGAATATTGTTGTGTAGCCTTTTCAGGCTTAGAAATTTTTTTCTTTGTATTGATTTTGTAATTTATTGTGGTAAATACATACCTGGATCAACACTACTGTGTATTGTTGAATATGCATGTACATCACTTTGATTTAGAATTTATTTATGTTACTCTTTGTACTATCATATTCATCTCTTCTCTAAATCAATTGAAACTCTCACTAATATCTTCAAATTTTGAGTTTTATAGTTTGATGGAAGCACCACATTCTTATATCGTTTTGTTACATGGAATGGAAATTAAAATTAGTATGAAAGATAAATTGAATAGATGGTGAGTGTTCAAGCAAACAATTTTATTTTGCATGTACTCTGAGATTTCTTTTATGAGAGAACTACTACCTTTAATGTTCATGAGATTTCATTCCACTCGCGAACCTGAGTAGATTTATTATGTCAGCTTGCATCTGGTGAAGTTTTTGGTCCAGATCAACCTATTGCTCTGAAATTATTAGGATCAGAAAGGTCACTTCAAGCTCTTGAAGGTAAGCTTCCTTCATATTGTAAATTTGCAAATTCAACTTACCCTGTGAGCACTTTATGGCCTAGGCGTACATACAATTCCAAGGAAATAAATATAACCATGCCTGTAAATTTGAAAAATTTTCACTGAAGTTATGGTGCATCTAAGATGTGTCATAGTTGAGTCATTACAAGAATGTATGCTGGATAGATTGCGGGTTATCTATTAACTTTTTAATTTTTTATTTTCATCTTTTTATGATTATTGTGAACGAACCAATCACAAGATTTTACTTTGTAGTCATCTTGATACCTTTTCATTTAGTAATGTCGTACCCCTTTGTACGTATGGCCGTATGGGTAATGGAAATCATCTCATTACCCCATGTTTTTCTTTCAATTTTTTGTACTTGAAGGGTACCTTGAATTCTAAATTCATATTTACAGCAGGAACCCATTTGAGCACTTCTAATTAAGTATGGATACACATTATTACAAGAAAACATGAGGCTGCTTTAGTTATGAGAAACTCTGCTACTGAGAGAGATAGATGAGAAATCCAAGCAATAATAGAAATTTGAGTAATAACTAATTTGAATATGATTTGCCAGGTTGGAATAGGTTATACTTATTTATTTTTTTGATATGCTTTAAACTCAAACAAGATACATCTTAAAGTTGACTGATATAAGTATATATCACATCACTGCTGTTTTCATTCTGAATGTTCTAATTCAACATGCAGGTGTTGCGATGGAACTAGAGGACTCTTTGTTTCCTTTGTTGAGGGAGGTGAGTATTGGTATTGATCCCTATGAAGTGTTCCAAGATGCAGAATGGGCTTTGCTAATAGGTGCAAAACCTCGAGGACCTGGAATGGAGCGTGCAGACTTGTTAGACATAAATGGGCAGATTTATGCTGGGCAGGTAAATGGTATTCAAATTTAAGCCATATTTATTGCTTTCTGCTTAAACAAAGTTGATTAGACTAACATTATACCTTGTGTACAATAGGGAAAAGCACTGAATGCTGTAGCATCCCGCAATGTCAAAGTTATAGTTGTGGGAAACCCTTGCAATACAAAGTAAGCATGGTTTTTTCATATGTAAACTTGAAGTTACATGTGTTTGTTTATGCTAATGTTCGTGTCGTGTATTTAAATGCAGTGCATTAATATGCTTGAAGAATGCTCCTAACATTCCTGCTAAAAATTTTCATGCTTTAACTCGCTTAGATGAGAACAGAGCAAAATGTCAGGTAACAGTTTATAAAATTTTTCCTTTTAAAATTGTTCTACAACAGAAGAAATAGCTAACTATATTCTCTGCATTGTCTCAATAAAATGCGCAGCTTGCCCTCAAGGCTGGTGTCTTCTATGATAAAGTATCAAATGTGACGATATGGGGCAACCACTCAACTACTCAGGTTATTGAAGAATCATTACCAGCATAATGTGCCTGAACTGAATTTCTGTAACTCTCTTTTATGATGTGGTGTTATCTTGTTGATAGGTCCCTGACTTCTTAAATTCTAGAATCGATGGTTTGCCGGTCAAAGAGGTGGTTAAGGATCATAAGTGGTTGGAGGAGGAGTTCACTGAAAAGGTTCAAAAGGTAAAATTTGTAATAAGCATCCATAGTTAAATGTGCAGCATAAAAGATATATGGTTTCCTAGTGCTAAAAGCTGACAAGTAATTGTTTGATTGGCAGAGAGGTGGTGCGCTTATACAAAAATGGGGAAGGTCATCAGCTGCATCAACTGCTGTATCAATTGTTGATGCCATACGATCTTTAATCACTCCTACTCCTGAGGGTGATTGGTTTTCTTCGGGTGTATGTTGATATTAGTTAAATTACCTCATGTATTTACTTGATATAGAATTAGATGAGCTTTTCAGCAAGACTTGCAAACTTGCTCTACAATTAATACTAACAGAAGTTACCTTCCGATTCATACAAAGAAAAAAGTAAAAAGTCACAAGTCATACATACATTCAGTCTAGTTTCTGCTCCTTCATGCATGCTAAAATAAATAAACATCATTTGGAGTTGTAGTTAAAATGACAATTTCTCTTCTTTATCTGGAATGTGTATTGTAAAGCTTAATTGAAGGGCCTATAACCAATTTTTTCTCACAACTTTAAACATGTAACAGCCTTCATTTATACATTCAATTTCCTGTATTTTTTTGAGTTTATTCTTTCTACTTCAATCACACAAAGTTTGCAATTGCAATGCCAGGTATATAGCAATGGAAATCCATACGGAATATCTGAAGGTATTGTTTTCAGCATGCCATGTCGATCAAATGTAAGTTTGTTTACTATATTCTTCATTCTTATAATTTCTAAAATTGATTCTGTTCCTCCTATGACAAAAATTTTATCTGCTAGGGCGATGGTGATTATGAACTTGTAAAGGATATTATATTTGATGACTACCTTCGACAGCGAATAGACAAGGTAAAATTGAAACTTAGTTTGCATTTGGTTTATAATTCATTAAAATTAATCTAGATGGTATTGATTTTAAATCGTTGGATATAATTAAGATGTGTGCCTAGATTAATCTGAACTACATATTTGTATTGGAACACGTTTTTCATTGAAAAGTATAGTAGTTGATTTTTTTAATTTAAAACAAACAGGGGTTTAATTTATTTTATACAACAAAACAACTTCAAATTTGGCAAATACAGAAAGAAAAAAAAAAAAAACCTTTACTATTATGTACTGTATAATTATTGTTTAAGTATATCATATAAACGTAAAATTTGGTGCTAAAAGAACCAAATGCACAGTTTAAATTGATGTGTGCCTGAACCTATGTGAATTTTTTGAGTTTAATATGTCTTATTTTGCAGACAGAAGCTGAGTTGTTGGCTGAGAAGAGATGTGTGGCTCACCTAACAGGCGAGGTAAGTATCTCATCATTATATATGATTAGTTTCTTCTGCTGATATTCATCATCTGAACATATATATTATCTATTATCAGGGAATTGCTGTTTGTGATCTACCTGGTGATACCATGCTCCCAGGAGAAATGTAACTAGCCCATCTCCTGAATGCCGCCATAGCAGATATTGAAATAAAGTTTAAATATGTTTTTAGTCCTTATTAATATGGTTAAATTTTATTTTAGTTTTCTATTTATTTTTGGTCTTTACAAATTTTAAATTTTTTTAAAATAGTCTCTATTACCACTTGGTGATAGATACATATGACATGACATAACTATATATATGACATGTCATTAATAAATGATGATAGAGATCATTTTAACATTTTTAAAATTTATGAGGATTAAAACAAAATTAAATTTTATTATATTTACAAGGACTAAAAACATATTTTACCCTTGAAATAAGATCACGCTAATTGATGTAGAATAATGGTTGTTATAAGCATGCAAAAATTTTGTTTTTTGCAACAATAAAAGTTTGAAAACATTCATTTGATTTTAAAACCATAATGCTGCTAAATAAGTTGATCTAGATGTTGTAAGAGTAATATCAACTTCTGTTGTCTAGATGATTGTCCCATACTACAAACTGAAGGGCCAATTGAATCTCTTAGCATGCTCAACAATCATGCACATCACATTATGTATTTATTTTAAGATAAATAACAGTTTATTCCTTTGTAATTTTACATTTTTCTTAATTGACTTCTTTATACTATTTTATGTATCGATAAAGTCCCTAAAGTTAGTGTTGAAGTAAAAAAATATTATGGTCACAGTTAAACCATGGTTAATAAGCCTAAAATCATTACTAAATCAAGAAAAAGTAAGGCTCAAGGGGGTTTAATGATATTATAAAAAGTATATAAAAGTAAGTTTAAAAAGTGTAAACTTGAGTCAAGTATAATTTTGAAGTCTGAATAATAATGTAAATGAAAAGTGCACGTTCATGTTTTTATTTTATTTTTACTTTTAATTATAGAATTATTATCTTGTTTTTATTTTATTATCTATTTTTGAATACTTGTATAGGAAATACTAAAAATTATATATATATTTTTTATTTTTATTGTTTTTAATAAAAATTTAAAGCAAAAAATAAATTAAAATAATTTGAAAATTTTATAATAAAAAGTGAAGACAGAATGAAAATAAAATAAATTTGAGCTATTCAGTTAAGACTGTTTTCCAATTTTTCTTATTGTTGTGTTTAGTTCTGCGTCAAATTCATTTAAAAGTTATAACTCTTATGGTTAAATATGATTTAATGTAATTTTATTTAGTTTCCAATCGTGAATTCTTTTCCTTTTGTACTATTTAATATTATTAGTAAAAAATTGATAATAAAGAAGTGAGAACATAACAATAAATTGTATAACATAATAATTGATGAAAAGTACAATAGTATCGTACATGTTTGTGTTTGGATAAGATTATTTATTGATTATGTTAAAAATCCTTAAAAATATACTATTCGTTCTCGTTTAACAAATTTTTAAAAATCAGCTTATTATATTTAGTTATTTTTTACAAAGCAAGTAATTTGAGATAAACAAAATTTTATTTAAAAGCTATCACTTTACTTTTTAGTTAAATTTTTACACAATTTTATACCTTTGTAATTTCAATATGAAAAGGTAATTATCTTATATAATCTAACATATTGAAACACAATTTATTTTACATAATCAATTATCTCAATAGTTAATTATACATATAATCAATTATAAAAAGAAAACACTTTTTTCAACTAATCTAAATACAAACATTGTGGGAAAGTCCGTAATTAACTTTGTTGATAATACATAGTCTTTTGAGAAGTTGAATATCTATGGCAGTTCTTAAGAAAAGAAAAGATTTCCTTATCCATGGCAGATCTTAAGAAAAGAGGAGGGTGGTCCTTGTCCAAGCTGCACCTGCTCAGGACCCAACAAAGGGAGGGTCAGAAGTAGGGAACAAACGTGACATAAGCATGTTGGGGGGAAAATTAAAATTAAAAAAAAAGCATGTTTTTTACAACTCTTCTAAGAAAAAAAAAGAAGAGATTGTTCTCTAAAAATAAATTAGACCAAAGATGTTAATGATAAGGAAATTATATGCAAGCAAAAGCATGATGGCAATAGGAAAAGATGGTTAAGAAAATGGATTTCTTCCTCACTTTCATCCAATAAATTAACATTTCCTGTAATAAAAGTATGAAAATACATATCCAAGAACATGAATTAATTGATAAGGGAATATTCTGTTTCATTAATTTTATTATTATTTTAATATTTTAAAAATAAAAACACTAAATATTTTCTCAAAACTTTATATTTCTAACAATGTCTAGTTTTATAACTGAGCTTTAGAGTTTAATGTTTAGGATTAAGAGTTAATTTCTAAAAGTAGTTAAGAAAGTAAAACAATGAGGACGGCAGCAAAATATGAATAGTTCAATAACAAAAACTCAAATCTTACTAAAAACTAATTTTAAAAAAATACTTTTAATAAAAAAAACAACTAAAAGAAAAAATTTGGTCGAGTATTACCGCAGCAGCATTAGCATATCCGTCATGCTCAACTAAAAGCTAATAATCATCCACCTGTGTATTAAATCTGATTATGCATTTTAAATGAGAGTGTTTTTAAATATATTTTACATAAGAATATTTTTAAGCAAACATTTTTATTTTTATTATGTAATTTTTTGTATTAAATATTTAATTTTTTACATTTATTTCTTAATTTTAAAATTATTTTTTATTTCATTTTTTAAAGTAAATACCTTAATATATTTTTTATTTTTATTTCAAAAACTTTAAATTTAATAACATTCATACAATTACCAAAAACTCACTAATAAACAATTAAACATTAGGACTTTTAGTATATTACAATTCATTGGCCATTTTAACTCCCCAATAATTTTAAACGTTTTATACTAAAAAATTATTAAAATATTACGTTTGTAAATTTTCTTTATAAAAAAATAAGAGCCAAAAACTATAATGGCTATTCTCACACTTGTATGAAAAAAATAAAATAAAATATTTCCTATATCTGCATAAATAACTATTTTAATACCTGTAACCTTATTGACCAAAAATAAAATAAAATAAAATTGTAGCCTTACTCGTTGAGTACTTCTCACACTTAAACTTATTGTAACAAACTAATAAAAATAATTTTACTATAATATTAATATCAATGATAAAAAGTTAATAATAAATATTTAAAAATAAATGAACTTAAAAAAAATAAAAATTTCTTAATTATAAAATATATATAACACATCAAATTCATTAACTTATTTTAAAATTGAAAAAAATTAATCTTTATTATAAAATAACTTAAATATATTATACAAATTTGAACAGAGGTTTCAGAATAACATAATATCGCGTACCTAGATTCATATCTATAATCTATAATAATTAAACAGATAGAAGAACCAAATTGAAAAATTAAAATCACACATACTAAATTAAGTTTAATCTCGATAGTGGATGCACCAACTTTTTTGTCAAGTACTTCAAGATAATTTCAATGGCTTATCTCATACCTGAGATGTATCTTCTCATGCAAAACCCAACACTCGCAGAAAACTAAAGAATTATGGTCAAGCCCACGCATAAACCCAACAACTTTACATGACGTTAATTTGTAACGTGAAAAAAATCTGCTGTTCCTACTCTCATACAAATTTTGAAAACGTATAATAGATCTTCTCCCCATGCTAAATTTTCACATAATAAAATCGTATTTAAAATTTCTTTCTAATGATAAACATCAAATAAGCCATAATAGTTAAGAGTCTTATAAGGAGAGGTATAAACACAATTTAAACAAATTGTCATATACATGAAAGAATCTACTCCCATGAGAACAAGACCAGGGACAAATGGCCCTTGTACGTCTACCTTGTGAAACAAACTACATGTCCAACTTAAATACTGAAAAACCTCTCTCAGTCAGAACTTTGCGTCTATCACTAAGAGCATTGGAAGTAAATAGTAACAACAATATACTACGAATTGCTTTAAAGACAACATTATTCTATCTATCGGCACTCTAAAAAATGCTGGCGTATAAGTTACAACGAAAAATGTATAGATCAATATGACTAAAGTACCATAAATCTACAAAGTCATGGGATCCTAGTCGTTGAATGAGTACCATCAAACACTAAACGATACTTTACTGACAGCAGCTCATTCTCTCACACGAACGTATCCTAGTTGTCATTTACCAGTATACATGATGCTTCCAATCTTGAAACTCAGTGAAAGAACAAGAACCGAGAAACCCATCACAAAAATCCAGCCATGTGACAAGACAAATGCGGTCTTGCTAGAGACCAAGCCAGAAATTGGCATCAAAGAAGCAGAATTAACATTGGGTTCAGAAAACCCAGCAGATATTATAGCGTTAAACCCTCCATTCTTGCCCATCGTCCAATCCATCCCATTGCCTCTTAATGTAATGTCTGTTATGCTGATCATACCTGCAGTTATATGAGCTGAGTTGGAAGACTGAGCAAGAGCAATCTCCTTAGAAGGAAACTCCGAAGCAAATGCGGGAGCAGCAGGTATGCTGGCCAACCATTTATTGGCCTGCTTTACAAATTGATTTGTATTTCCTGCCAAACAAAGAAGAATTTTGTCACATTGATGAATAGAGTACTAATTAACAAGCTGTATTGTACACAGGAAAACACATCAAAAGAACAACTCAAGAAATTTGGATGCTACGTGGATGGCAGTCTCACCTGAAAGAAATTTGGACTCTTGTGCATTCTTGCTTGAAGAAGCTTCATTGCTAGATTCCGCTTCAAATTCATGTTTGACTGCCCCGGACATATCAGTGGTTTCTCCTTCCACATTCTGTCAATGACCAAAAAAGTGTTAATATGCATCTATAATACAAATCAGCAAGGTATACTACATAAAAAAATCTTGGGTACACCACAACCTGCTGGATGAAAGGTGATCCTTGGTTGGGAACAGAGTTTTCACACTCAGTATTCTGAGGAAGATCAAAAGATATATACTTGGAAATATCATCATCAGGGTATGCAAGATACTCTTCCATCATATCAGTCCCAGAAATATCAACCTGGGTGGGATTACCCTCTGTCGGAAACACAAGATCATTGGTTTCCAAGAATGATCCATCATCAACAATCGGAAGATAATCAGCAGCATCCAAGTATAGATCTAGATCATCAAACGTGCCATTGAAATTCAGAGGATTCAGTTCACCATTGTCTCCATCTATCACAGAATTGGTGTTCATACCATGTTGCTCAGCCATATCCAATGGCTTCGGTTCTGTAATAAATACTTGGGAATGATCAGGATGGCTACTACACTCCCCATGATAGAAGTTTGATGATGGAAAACCAGCACCTCCAATTGCATCACTCAAATCAAGCTTCTGGACATTGAAGACATTTCTTTTAAGATTAGAGAATTGAATATGCCAGGCAATGCAGAGAAAGCAACTCAGCTAAAAAAACAGGGCGAGAGTCATGGCATACAAGCAACTCAGATACCTCTTTATGGATCAGAAAAAAATCTTACCAATAACAAAACCTGTGGAAGGACATTCGTGAATGATGACCATGATAAATCAGCATACATAAAATGCTCACTCAAAAGTAAAGTTAGTAATTCACATTGAACATTTTCCCCAAAATGCTTACATCTTCCCGGGAAAAAAAAAAAAAAAAAAAACTACACCGATAAGTGCCCACTAAATACCAACGTAAAAAGCTAGCCCTTATGAGGAAGACCTATCCAAAAGAAAATTACGTAGAGCACAACATAAAAAGCAACCAAAACAATGGCCCCGCAATACTGAGATGCAAAACATGAAGACACGGTAAGAAAACAAAACAACTACAAAGGACTCCATTAGCTACAATGTTAAAACAAACAACTGCATAGACATACACACAATTACAACTCATAAATAAACTCACCCAGCCTACACAACGAAGAAACATCAGATAATTCATTTATGTTAAAAATCCAAGTAAATAAATAAATAAATAAAGTATCCCAACACCAATACATCAATCCCCATCGCTTGGACAGAATACAAACCTGTTCAAGGTCATCCGTTTCAACATATGCACCATCAGACACCGCATTCAAAACCTCATCAGCCAGAAAGGGAGCCACCTCCACCTCCTCATCCTCATCACTCCACTCCTCCTCTAACAAGGGAGCGCCATATTTGGCCCCGTTCTGGGGACCAGCACCACTCTTCTCGAAAATCCTACACAGCACAAAAGCATCCTTCTCCACCAAACAAACCACACACCAACTAAGTATCAAACCAACACCAAATCCAACAAAAAAAAATAAAATACAACAATTATATATATGTATCACTACCTGAACAACTCCAGCCTGAGCCAGCTCATCATCAACAAGCTTGTACTCGTGCATGACCCAGTTGGTGCGAGCACCATGTGGGGCCCGACCCAGATGGTAAACGAGGGTTTTCTTCATTCCGACAGTGCGGTGGCCATTCATGACGGGGCGATCTTTTCCGGTGGTCTTCCAGTAACCCTTCTCGGTGGCGCGGTTGGTTCTGAAACCATTTCCGTACTTCCTGTCCAGCACGCTGAAGAAGTACCATTCCAAGTCCCTCGTGTTCAGCTTCGACTTACCTGAAACCAAAGAAAGAGAAAAGCGTCTTTGAATTTTCAAACGCTATCGAAAAAGAACGAAACGTTAATCGAGACCGAGGACGGGACGTACGGGTAGAGATAAAGGGGGAAAAAAGAAAGAGAGAGATGAGAAGATGCTAACAGGGAAGGTCCCACGGCTCGAACTTGTAGACGTCGACGACGGCGATGTAGTCGAAACGGCGTAGTTTTCCGGTGACCTTGCGCTTGAGGTAGAACCGAACGAGCTCTTCGTCGGTGGGGTGGAATCGGAAACCAGGACCAAGTTTGGTTGGGGAATCGCGGGACATGGTTAAGAAATTGGATTGAAGTGAAACGGTGAGAATTGGGATTAGGGATCTTCAAAGGAAAGAGAATTGGTACATTTGGTAGAAGAAGGGTAAGAGGGGGTTTTGAGGATCCGAAGGCAGAGTAGTAGAAGGTTCTAGGAGGTTGGAATGAGCAGCGAAGGAGCGAGACGATGGGGTTTTATAGAGCCACGTTTGGGTGATTGTGTCGAGGTCACCCGCGGCACGTGACTGAGAGAAGTCGGTGTGCTGGCGCCAAATCATTGGCTAGATGACACAAGTGCATGACGAATGAGGAGACGAAATAACTTCAATTTCCGCCTCCTCTTTTCCGCATGATAAAGGTTTTATAGTTCACAAGAGTTGGTAATTAATTAGTGTATAAAATTAGTATACTTTTACTTGCTACTCAAATTCAGTTTTAATTTTATTTAAATGAATTTGCTTTATTTAAATGACTCTCTTTTTTCTTTTATAATCTTTTTTTTTTCTCTGCTGAACTCCTCCTTTAGCCCTCTTCCTCCATCATGTTCTCATTTTCTCATAATTTTTAAAAAAAATTTCTTTTTTTCTTAAGTAAGTAAGCCAAGTAAATTTGTTTAAACAAAAATAAATCAGTCTACTTCTATGTGAGTTGAAGCAAATTTGAATTCCAAATTTTATATGTATCCTTTGTTTATGTGATAATTTTAAGAATTAAAACTTTTCCAATGCAACTTCAATTTATAATTAAAAATAAATTTCAAATTAATAAAGTGTTGATTGTCATTTTATATATTTAAGATTATCTACGAACCTTATTTATACAATTTATGATTTTTAGAATTAAAGCTTTCATAATATCATTTCATTATTAAAATAAGCTTTTGTATTAATAAATTATTTAATATCATTTTAGATCTTTCTCGTACCCTTACTACACATTGGTTGCATCTTTAGCATAATGTTTGTAAAATCTGCTTAAGTCATTTTCACCGTATTTAAGCAAAAGTTACCAAAAAAAAAAAGTGGCTCATTGAATGAATATTGCTTAAACAAGAATATTATTAGCTTAAGTAAATTGTGCAAATACAAAAATCTTACAATTTTAGCTTAAGTAAAAGATAATGTTTTAAGCAAAAATTAATAAAATTTTATATAATTGTCACGATATAAAAATAGCTTGAGTTAATATTATATGACTTAAGCAAAATATACTGAGAATAATTTTTTTTTACATTTTTTAGCGTTCAACTATATCTCTTTAATCATTACTCCTATTTTAAATTTAGCCAAGTTATTTTTTGTTAATATAAGTGAGATGAATATATAATATTTTCAAATTTAATGGTTTCACTTATAAAATCACAATTCAAAGTATAATTATAAAAAGAAAATATAATTATTTAGGTGGTTAGATATGAGAAACATGTTTGTATGAAGGAGAATTTGCATTACAATAACGACGGAATCAAACAAAGCTTCTATAACACTATCCCAAGGAAAGATTATCTAACTTTATTTGATTTTTTACTTTGAATATCCCTTTAAGATTTGTAATCTTAAATTTCAACCATAATCACTAAATTTATCAAACTAGTTATTAGAAATATAAAGAAAATATTTGAACTAACTAAAGAAATAAAATAAAAGAGAGTAAATTTGAGAAAATAAGGTTGACTTTTATGTAATAAAAAAAACTTACCTTAGAAATTATTATAATATTTTTAAAAAATATTTATCATAAAAAAATTAATTTAGAAAACCTATCTTAAATATTTAATATTTTGATATTCTTAACTTAAATTTATTAAAGATTAAAATATAATTAAGAGAAAATTTTTCTCACACTAGTATAAATCTAAAAACTCTTATATTTGATTTAAGTCTTTTATTTAACTTACATTCTAATAGTCAGCAAAGTAAAAAATTATAATCTAATATAAGTTAAATAAAAAACTCATATTAAGTATAAGAATTTTTAGATTTATACTAGTGTGAGAAGATTTTGTCTCATGTAAATATTATAAATTTTAAATTTTGTTATAGTAAGTTATTTTGCTAATTTATTTGAGTTAATTAAACATCCATCAAGAAATTAATTAATAAGCTAGTTTAGTTACCAAGCATTATTTTATATTTTTATAAATAATTATATATAAAATAATATTATTTTAAATAATATTTTTATGAATAATATGTATGATAATAATAAAAATTTAGTAAATTTAAAATTATTTCTAAAAATAATACTTTTATCATATAATGTCAAATATTTTTAATACTTTTAATATATTTAAAAATATATATCTAAAAAATTTAAAAATTTATACATAATAATTAAAAAGTTAAGTAACAATTTTAATTTTTAAAATTTTAAATAAAATTAATAAAATTATGAATAAAAATTAAAATCATATAAAATGTACCATATGAGCGGTATAAGATTGTAACTTTATTAAATCTTTTACTTTTCAAATAGTAAATTTTTATTTATAACGTAGGTATTAATAATAAATAAAATAAGTATTATAAAATAATATTTTATTTTACAAGGCCGAGGGTTAACAATGTAAATTTATTCCAAATTATAAGTTTAATATTATTTTAAGATTTTTAACTAGATGTTATAATTTGTAATAAAATTTTATTATTTATAGATTTTCCTAAATATTTGATTTAAGGTAATCCATAGTTTCTAGGGTCTATATATTAAGGAAAAATTAATATTTATTCTATTAGTAGTTATTTTCATTTAAAAATACTTACAAATATTTATTTAATATATTATTATAAAATAAATATTTAATTAAAATATCACTTTGAGAAATTTTAAAGCAAAATTTGAATTGTATAAAAATAATTTCTAATCAAATATTTATTTAATATACTGTTTTTAATTATTTTTTCAAAATTATTTATATCCATATAAAAATAATCTTAATTTTTTTTACTCATTTAATATTTGAATTAATTACATAATTAGTTAAACAACTTTAATTTAATCGACTAGTTTAAAGTTTTTAACTTTAAGTTACAAAATATAAATTTTTAGTTAGTTTTATCAAATAAATTGAAATAATTTTATTTATTTAAAAGTTAAAAAATTATTTTATTTTTTATATATTATTTTGACAAAAAAACTTGTAGTGACGTTAAATTTTGTGGCTTTTATAAATATATTTTCTTAAAGTATTATTCTGCCTTAATTCTTAAATATTTATTTTGATGAAAATAAGCTTTAAATTAGATTATACCTTCTCATTTATTTTGTTAAAAAAAAATATAGTAACAGAACTATATGCAAGTGCATCTAAAGTAACTGCAGTCGTCAAATAAGCCTTAATAAGGAGATAAAATAAAAAGCACGTTCTACCAAATTGCAATTTATTGAATTGCCATAAACTTCACAAATTGCGATTTATAGATTTGGAATCGTTCGCAAACGTGTTATTGACTAAACTGCATTTGTCAAACACACGTTGCTAGCGGAGTTAAATAAAGTGATTTACTCTTAAATTTTATTTTCTTAAATAGTCATCAATTATAGATTAAAAAGATTTTCTCAATTAACCTTTAAAAGAACCTGAAGCTGATAAAATCAAGTAATAAATGCACAAATTTATCATTTGAATTTGCCAATTCCTGTCGAAAAAAAAAACAAAGAAGCTCATACTAATTATATGCTATTTTCGTTAATCTAATTAAGTTGAGGATAAGCATTTTTAAGCACTTAGTTTGGTTCAAGATAATTCTTAAAAAATGATAATCTATTTTAATTTTATTCATTTTTTTTGTAAATTTTTATTTTAGTTCTTGAAATATGTACGACTAATTAAATAAGTTTTTTAAATTACAGTTTTAAAATATTAATCCTTAAAATTAATAATTATTAGTCAATTTAGTCTTTAATGTTAGAAGATATTAAAAATAAGTAATAAAACGCTAATTTGTAACGTTGAGAGACACAAACATGCACGTAGACTCCAAATGATGTCGTATTTGTGCATTATGTAAAGTTTCATTTTTATCCTTAAAATTAACCTATTATGCTATAATTTCACTAAATACGAACATAATTAACCCATATTTTTTGCTTTCTCCCTTTAAATCTAATCATTTCCACGTTTTCAGATTCTATTTTGATCTATTTACTTTAAACAAGACAACAACTGCTTGTATTTTTATACATTTTTGTTGTACTTCTCTTCTTACTTTGAGAATGGTACGTATAGAGGTCTCCTAAAGGTTCATCATTTCACTTTTGTCTTTAATTTTATTTTTTTTGTGATTGAGTATTTATGTTTAGAAAAATCACGATTTGTGTTTATTATATAGGTTAATTTAAGGTTTTTAGATTTTTAAATTATTATTGGTTTTCACGTTATGTATTGAGTTTTTAAATTTTTGTTTATTTATTTGTTAATTAATTTGAGTGTTTTATCATGTAGAATGAATTTTATTAAAAAAGACTCAAAAAATCAATCATGTGAGAACGTAGTTCACAAAAATACATATATTGTTGAAAGTTTTGATGAGAAGAGTGATGATGATTCATGGTATACAAAGAATTGAAAACTCATAAATATTGAGGATGAATAAGAAAATGCAAATGACAAAAAGTTTTCTCACATTTCAATGAAGAGGCAACCTTTGGGTGTATGAACCTTGAACTAGGTGTAACATCTTTATTTTATTAAATATGATAAAGAAATAGTTTTATAGTTAAGAATAATTAAATTAAATCTATTTAACAGCCAAAATAATATGCAGAATTATAAAGCATTTTACTTATTTTACTCAAATTTATAAAAAACTTAAATACAAAGTAATAAAAATTAAACAAATTTAAGAAAAAGCATTGACATAACATCAATATATACATACATTATTCTAGCAAATTTACAAGGGTTTAACATTAGCAAAATTTATATTAAAATACATTAGAACTTATTTATAATATTTACAAAATACAAAAAAATACAACAAGTCTTAGTGAACAGTCTATCCACCAAAAAGATTAAAAGAAAATACTAGTAATTCCCATGTCATCCCTCTATCATACGATGTCGTCGGAATCAAGATCATCATCTCATCTGAGATATAGATCACCTGAATCTATAGTAGCCTATGTACCAGTAATTTGTTTAAAAGTCCATCGAGACGGTCTTCT